AACGTTTGATACTCTTCTTGATTTTCCACTGCACCCCGTGCATTTTCGTGAAGGAGCCTCTAATTGCAGTAGCCCAGGAGCTCCCCAGCGAAAATGAGCGCTAGGAATAAAGATGAAGAAAATGCCGCCGATGCACGGGAGCTGGAGATAATGGCGGAAACAACGCCAAAAACCATGGACACGGGCTGTTCTCTACCGAGTGCAGCAGAAACGACCGCCTTTTCTCTGGAAGCGCTTGACTTATTAGATTCATCTAGTAAGTACCAGCGCATTGTCCAGGAGCGCGAAATTATTTTTGGTGGACAGCAGGATCCTACAGCGGTGAGACAAGTACTAATGACACTTGATGAGACAGACATAAGAAACCTCCGCGAACATCTGTTCAGACAACTGACTGAAGCAGTTCCAGCTATAGGAGGACGGACGTTGTGTCGGAGAAAGCCGGGCAACAAAGCGGCACTGTCAGACGACTGCTGGGAGCTTGGCTATTCGTGTGTTCAGCGTCTTCTGACACAGCACGCGAATACAGCCACTCTAAGACCAGCAGGCCGTGAAATGCTCCCCCCCACCCGGGTCAGGTCTGGAGCCAGCTGCCTCCTCCGTGGTGGCTTCACTAGAAGCCGTGCTATCCAGACAGCTCAACCTGGAGCGCCAACTGCAGACACTGGGCAGCAAAAACACTGCGCTGGAGACCCGAGTAAGATGCCTAGAAGCAGAATCGACCAGACTGCGAGAGGAGAGTGCAACAAAGGATGCACGGATTGCCCAATTGGAGATATATGTAGAAGAAGCTGTATCTCGTTCCGTAGCACTGGCGACAGCTGAAGGCACATCGAACCGGGAGGCTCATAACTCAGAAAAAAATAGTGGAGCTAATAGGACAGCGGATATCGCCGCCGCGATTGACATCCGCGCCCTAGGTGCGGCAATCGCCAGCTCACTGCAGTGGAACGCGGGTGACTCCGAGTCTGAAGCTGAGAATGACGCATGCTGCGGCGGTTCACGGCCACCAGTTCAACAACTGCAACGCGAAACGCGACCGCTGGCTCCAGTTCGAGACACTCTCACCGGCAATAGGGAACGGTCATTTGCTGAAGCGGCTCGTACCGGCGGGGCACAAGCACAAACTCAGAGCACGAGATCTGATGACTCCCAACGAAGCCCCCCTGGTGTTGTAACAGGCACGGGTGTGCAATCATCGCTGATCATGCCGAGGACTGAACAGTATGGCCCACACAAGAAGTTCTTCATCTCAGGATTTCGACAGGAAGTCTCTGACAGCGATGTCCGTTCGCTCGTGTTCGGTGTCGTAAGGAACCTGCATGACTTTCACAGGGTCAAGTACGGTGGAAGTGCACATCAGGCGCGATCGAAGTCGTACATGATTGAAGTTGACGGCCAAGACGCTGACCTAGTTATGGACCCTATGAGATGGCCAGCTGGACTCACGGTAGCTATGAAGTTGGATGAAGGCGGACCCCGCCGACCAACGTTTCAGACCCAAGGAAGTGGACCGAGGACAGCCGAAGCACGATGGTCAGGCGGACGCCCTCCGTACACATCGTCTGAAACTGAACAGACCCATGGAATGTCAGCCGAATTCAACCGCACCAGAGTACCCGGTAACAGTAGCTTCGGCCATCCTGAAGGATGGGCCGGTGCTCAACCTCAGCGCGCAACCACCGGCTATACTTCACAGTACGGTGACTGGCAAACGGTCAACTATGGACGCAAACGAGGCAGGCGAGTCGACCAACAGCAACAGTACAGTAACAGACGCGCTCACCATTGGTAGTTACAACTGTGAGGGCTTCCTTAGTGCAGCGCATTACATAGTGGAACAGCTTTTGCCTAACAGTGATCTGCTGTTCCTGTCAGAGACATGGCTCTCACGAGCTGAGGAACCCTACCTTTCAAATGTAATTGATTCGCTAGATGATGGCGATTATTATTATGCGCAAGATTTTGCTGCAGAGCTACCACCTCGGGTGGGTGAAGGCAGACCTCATGGAGGGGTAGCCTGGATTTGCCGGAGGCGCATGAACCGCAGCTTTGAAGCTATATGCTGTAATGACCACAGACTGTGTGGTGTCACCCTTCTTGAGAGCAACACTCCCGTTCTAAATCTTATAGGATGTTATATGCCCTTCTGGGACTCGTACGGACCGAATGGCGAAGAGTACCTTACAGTTATTGCAAAACTTGATGCAATATTAGAGTCTGTCCGAGCCGACGCTCCAATTCTACTTGTCGGGGATTTCAACTGTGCACTTCTCCCTCTGGCAGACACAGCTCGCACAGTCGGATGGCAGCATCTCCGAGGTCTTACACCCAACAGTTTGGCTATGCAGTCTCTCCTCGACGACTATGACCTGACAGTTGCAGAGTTTCGGTTTCCGCAAAAAGTTGGTTACACATATTCTCGTGGTAACAGCCGCTCCCACATAGATCATATCGCGGTGCCCAATAGCCGTGTTCAAGACGTACGCAGCTGCACAATATTGCCTCCTTGCAAGGACAACCTCAGCCCGCACCTGCCAATAATCTGTGAACTTTTGATAAAAGTTCCAATGGCTATGCGTTGGAGTAGCCCAAATGATAAATCCTATTGGAATTCCACAGAGCAAGTAGATTGGAGCTGCCCCGCGAAAGTAGCCGCCTACCAGAGTATTCTGGAAGAAATCCTGCCTTCACAGCTAGCATGCTGCGGCGATTCTCTCGATAACCTGGATTCTGCTATCACACACAGCATGCATACCGCTGCTCGAGTCTCTGGTTGTTCCAGACCCAGACACCGACCAAGGGCCTGGTGGACTCCCGATGTGGCACGAGCGAGAGACCGCAGTAGGTTCTGGTTCAACATTTGGAAAAGCTGTGATAGACGGCAAGGGACAGCGGTGAGCGCCTGTTATCACGCCGCTCGACGCAGCTACAGGAAGGCTCGCCGAGCAGCAGCAATGTCTAGCATTGAAAAAGATGCTAAACTCATCCATTCATTGCGCCGTAATGGAAATAGTAATGCTTTTTGGCGCAGTGTGCAGCGTGCTAGAAGAGGAAATAATTGCACGGTGTCGGTGTGCAGTGCACCGGACTTTGCAGATTACTTTAGAGACGTCTACAGAGACTCTCAAGAAGAGCTGACCACTGAACAGCACCGGATCTCAAATACTGTCGCTGATATGGTTCGTGGTGCTGCTGCAGTAGTAGAAGAACGAGTCGTCACGCCGGCGGATGTATCTGCGCTCATCTCTCGCCTACACAGGGGTAAATCGGCTGGAGTCGACGGTATAACAGCCGAACACCTCGTACTGGGTTCGACCCCTGCGCTACTATCTGCAGTGGCTCTTCTGCTAAGTAAGTGTCTCACCGAAAAGACAGTCCCTGTGACCTTTACTGAAGGCCTGATGGTACCAGTGTTGAAAAAATCCCAGTTAGACTCCCACTCTATGGATAACTATCGGCCAATATCGATCACAACAACAATATCCAAGCTGCTAGAACTGCATATTCTTCGCGAATTGCAGGACAAGTACACCCCGCATGATCTCCAGTTTGGGTTCATACCAGGACGTGGTGTCAGCGAGGCATCCCTAATGGTAGGCGAGACACTGAACTGGAACCTGAGCAGAAGTCTCCCAGTATTTGCAGCCAATCTCGATGCCAGAAAGTGCTTCGACAGGATATGGCATGACGGACTATTCTACCAGCTGCGAGATTTTTTGGACACAAGTACATGGCTTCTAATTGTGAACTGGTATCGGAAGTTAACAGCGAAGATAAAATTTGCCGGGCAAATATCTGCTGCGTTCCCTGTACTCCGCGGTACCAGACAGGGTGCGATACTCTCTCCCACATTCGCAAATATCTACCTGTACCCACTGGTAGCCTCTCTGGACTACAGTGGCCGTGGCGCCTTTTGGCACCGTCACCATGTTCCCGCGGTCTGCTACGCAGACGACTTGTTACTCATGTCCACAAACACAGGGCACCTGTCACAAATGCTTCAAATAGTAGAAGACTTTGCAAGATCCTGGAGGCTTGAGTTTACGCACCCACAAGCGGAGAGAACCAAGAGCCACATCATAGTTTTTGGAGGTGATACCCTATCCGAACTACCTACATGGCACCTCGATGGCCAGATTCTAATAAAAAAGAATCGATCAGAGCACCTTGGAGTGATCCTAGACTGCAAGTTTTCTGGCACACCTCACACAGAAATGCGCATAAAACGGGGAAGAGCCGCTTTTTATGGCCTCTCCACGGTTGGAATACTGTCCAGACGTCTATCGCCAAATGACAAGATTTTTCTGTGGAAAGCGGTGGTAGTACCAGCCCTTGTATTTGGCTGCGATGTAGCGCCTCTGAGTCCAACTGATGTCATTCGGCTAGAAGCATTGCAATCGTCGTGTCTAAAAGCTGCCCTGGGATTACCACGATTTGCCCACCATACGCTGCTTTTGGAGGCTGCTGACGTCCCTCAAGTTCACGAGGTTTTACGCAGTCGGACGCTGAAGACATTTTATTCAGCGATGAATAGCTCGGATCGCCTGGTCAGCGGCCTACTCTCCTCTGTCGCTGTTCTCGGGTGTAACTCCACAGCACTTCCCGGATCTTTCGCCCAGATTGTGTTCCAGATGTGTGGAACCAGGTTAAATGGAACCGGGTTAAATGGGATAATGGATATTGCTGCCGGACATATCGATCCAGACGTCATCACTGCACCGCGCCCCGAAAATGGCCTCAGAGACTCTTTAGCAGGCCTCTTGAGCTCCACATGCGAGATGTCGCGGAAGCTGTTGCGTTTGCTTACTGTGAATACCTGATTTGTATGAGTATGAAAGCATGTTTGTCGCTGATATGTGACGCCTAATAAACATTATTATTATTATTATTATTATTATTATCTCATCCATGGGATTGCCATGTAAAGATCTCGAGGATTTCGTATGCAGCGAAAAAAAAACTTCATATGGCATCCATAGAGAAAAGAGAAGAAAATATTTTGTTTATTATCGACTGTCGATAATAAACAAAACATTTTCTCTTTTTCAAGATTGCATAGTCTTTTGATTTTATTTTTTGCGAAAATTAAAAAAATGCAGCTTACTGACAAGCAGTTTTATACGAAATAAAATGGAGCACGGCAAATGTTGACGTATATGCGCCACAATCGGCTACACGACTACGCATGCAGCTGATCGTGTGAAAACGCATGGCGCCTGAAAATTTATTCCTGCAGTGGTTTGGGTCAGTCTGGGTATTCCTGGGCTCAAAATTTTCCATTCAAACAGATTTCAGCGTTATTTAGGGGCGCAAGATACGCATCTTGGACTCACCTACCGCGAGTACAGCATGGTACTGCTGTGTCAAGTGGTTATAAACATCTATCACTGCAACTTTGATTTGCTGCGGGAGGAAGACTGATAAGAATTGAATTTCCACAAGAAGTTGAATCAGAAAGTCATCTTATTTCAAGAACAATAATGAGCGAAGACGCCTTTAATGGGAGCTCTCAGCCCCTCAGTTTCCTTGAGCCAGAGGAAAATGATATGCTGGGTGCTGATACGCAGGGGTCAGAGTTTGACTTCACAGATTTTACTGTACCTTCGCAAAGTCAAACACTTCCATCACAGATTGACCTGGCATCTCAAGTGAGTGATTTTCTTTTTGTTTTTTTTTTCTGCAAGTGTGTCTGTCAGTGTTACTGTTGTTTATGATCAATTATGTATGTATGTATTTATCTAAACGTCAACAAGTATCACACCCAGGTTCAGATGTAGTCATTGATTAGAACAAGTTACCAATTACCATCTGCAGATGGTTTCACAAGTCTGAACAGGTTAAACGATAGGTACCGTAAACCGGGATGACAATGATCATAGACCAATTTGGGGCCAAAAATGAGCATTTTGCAGCTGTGAACTGTGTTTACTATGCCAATGGTTATATAAAGCAATGAAGCATTATAGCAGACACTTTGGTCCCACTTAAAAGAGTGATGTTCTGGTTCATGTCACAGATTGTTTTATTTTTGTCATTGACATGGAGTATTAATTAGCTAGCATCTCCAGCAATAATAATGGTAAAGATGAGAAAGACCCAGATAAAGAAAGAGAAAGCAAAGATTTAGATACTGAGGATGGAGGATGAGCATTGAGATGCTCTATCTGTGGTAATTGGAGCATCAAAGGGAAGTGAAAAAGACGATCAACTGGGAGGTGCATGAGCAGTCTGGCAAGTGGTCCCACAGCCACCTGCAGACAAAGTGTGATGTAGGACAGGTAGCCTGTGGCTTAGGACATCTGTGACTGTTACTTAATCTTGAAGCCAGAGGTTAGCGTTGCTAATTTTGCTGCTTATAGCTCTGTAATGTGAGTTTAGACCCGGAGCATGCATCTTTATTTTAATACCTCAATGATTCATAGTTTTGTTGTGAAATGTGTGGGCTCTTCTGAGGGCTCCTATGGCACATGTAAGGTGATTTTATTGTATTGATCATAGTTACCCCGACCTCTGGGTGAGTATGTTCACTTTTTTGTTAAAGAAAAAATATTAATGAAAAATTTCAAGACATTTACTGTACTCAGCTAGATAGAAATTTGTCCAATTGGTTTGATGAAACAATTTCCAGAGTAAAATATCAATTGATATAGAAGATATTGTACCATAATGGTCAAAAGTGATATAAAGTCACCCTGGTTTATGGTAGGCACCTATTTTCCATCATGAGGTACCTACCTACCTCATAATCCTCTGATCCCTTTGAACAGTATGTGCTTAAATCTTATCTTGAACTTGAGCGTAAAGGGACCCTTCCACTTTCAAAAAAGTTAATGAATTGGCATAAAAGTGGTGTTGGTAGTGTATTCTTAAATCTTAGGTTTTTGAGCTGTTTGACTTTTATTTTTGTTCATTTTTGGGGGCCTCCACTTTTCTAATGACGTCATTTTGGAGCAATAATTTTGTATCTTAATTCTTAACCCTCGCCAGGCGAGGGCCTTCTCCATAACACGGACAGCGAGGGGGGTTGGTACGACCCCCCCCCCTGGCGATTGGCTCCTATGGCACTTAGAAACGCCAAATTTACAGAGTAGGTGGGTCCATAGGAGATCTCGCCCCTGTGAAAATTTGGTGGCTCTAAGTCAATATTTAGACAACACCAAACCACAAGGACCCAACACCCAAGGGACTGTAAACAAACTCAGAAAATCACCAAAGAACCGCAGACTGAGATCGAAGATGAACCTGAACCTACATTACAACTCAACGTGCCAAGAAATACCGTTGAGAAATTCATTTCAGCCTGCCAGAATAACACAGCCAGAAACATTCAAGATTATTAGTTTTCGAAGGAATCAGCGACTTCGACTCGACTTCACGACCTCTTCACGCCTCACGTTTTTGTTTTTACTTTTTTCTGTTTTAGGGCCCTGGTGATATCCTTTTCGGTATCCTTGCACAGGCTGTTGATGTGCGCAGCGCCTGTGACAGCAGCAGCACTCACAGTCCTGTTAACAATTGCTCAACTACCCTTATCCTTTCCGTCACATTCCATAGTAATTTGTCTCATATCCTTCATAATCACCTCGGCAGAATAGCCACAGCACCTACTTGTAGAGTCGTTGTATGTCTAAATAAATAAATGAATAAATAAATAAATAAATAAATTAGGGGGGTTTTGGGTGGTATAAGTGCAACAATTTTGCTAAGGCATGTCAAAAGTTTTTCACCTATAACATTTTATCTGGTAAAGATAGAGCAAAAATAAAAGCACCAGTGAACTGAGGATGTCCGCGCACATCAAATTATATACTTTGTTACCAACTTAATTGAACTTAGATTTTTCTTAAAAATTAAGTAAATAGGTATAAAGTAATTGATTAAGTTTAACTTAATCAAAATGCATCATGTCGCATATCATTCGAACTGCCTGATCACAAGGAACACAATGACACCATTTTTGAAGCTTTAGCCTCATTGTGTGCCAAGTTATTAGCAAAATAGTAGTTTGACCTTAGTTGACCTCAGTTGACCCGACCCAAGCGTTCTTGTAGCTTGCAAACACCAAGTAAATGTAAATCAAGGCATTACAACACAAAAACGTTAAAAGAAAGCACAAATCTCATGTTTACGCATTCAGGCAAATTTCCTTAAAATTGTCATGACCTCTAGATGACCTCAGGTTAACCGAATTTGAAAATATGGGATGCATATGATGGCACTCGGTGACCTTAGCATATCCTGCAAGTTTGAAGCAAATTGATGAAGAACTCTAGTATCCATGAACAAAATAGTGCATTTTCAGTGCCGTTTTGACAATGTACCGGTTTTTGTGACCTTGCGACCTGACCTCAGGTCACTGGAACCTAAAAGTCCCTGGTAAAGTGGCATATACCGAGATGCCCCAAGTGGTGTCTGAAATTCGGTAGCACTACGTGCCATTGCACTCACGCGAATAACTCTGGGCATTCCGTTGCCGCTAAACTAGTCCTATTTTCCACTGACCCTGTACTGGGGCCGTATTCAAGCCGATTATATTCGCAAGAATTTCCTTGCGAATGACCTACTTCTCAAGCAAATTTTTTTAACCCTCGCCTGCTGGGGGGGGGGGGGGTGTTTGAACACCCCTTGTGGTTTTTCGCGAATATCTCAAAACGCCGCCGTTTTTGGTACACCTTATCATACATCAATTCTACACATGTTGTGAAAATTTCAGACCAAGGTCATTCAAGGGCAGGTCACCAGGTCACTTGAAGTGACCTCACCTCATAAAAAGTTTCAATGTCTGCCATAGCTACACCGAGTGACCGATCGCTTTTGAAACTTTCAGCGATTGACAAGGGTAACAGTATCTATAAAATGTTTATCTCGGAATTTCGATATCGGTGACCTAAGGTCAGGTCAATTTTGCGACCTCCCCATTATAAGTCAATGGAAGAAAATTGAAATGCGCCTCTTTTAGACGAAAGACATTATAAACACTCCCAAACACTGAATTACAAGTGGTTTAGACACACTCAACATGAAAATGGTGTCCGTGACCCCTAATTATGCCCCTGAGGTCATCTCAGGTCACGAATGGTCTCTAACAGTTTTTCGCAAATAACTTTTGATAGAGGCATGCTAGAGCGGTGAAAACGCCTTAGATGTGTTCAGCTCGACGATATGGATCGACAGATATGCAACATGATCTTTTCCGGTCAGGTCATGACCTTGACCTGAGGTCATATTTTCAAGTTGACCTTTCAATGTCAAGTTATAGTTCATTCGATGCGTCTTGACGAGAGGAATACGATGCCGGTAAAAGTTAGCTCGTACAAGGCTTGGGTCAAAAGTTATTGCAGAAAAAACTGTTTCCGAAAAAATCGGCTATTTTTGCAGTTATTGCCCCCTGCAGGCAAAACCGTTGACGTTAGGTCAAATCTGAGAGGATTGTCAGAAAGGGCGTTAATAGGGCTATCGGAAGCGCTTTTCCGCGGCGCTGTACCTCTATTGGTTCCCGAGTTATGCGTTGGCTTCCTGGAAATTGTCGACATTCGACCTGAAAATCGGCGAAATTTTGCCTTCAATGACCTCTGGTGACCTGACCTTTGACCTGACCAAAAAAGTGACCGTAGTGATTTCGTCATTCTTTTTGGCGCTCTTTCGAACGCCGCCTTCCGCGTATCGCTACGTGGCCCAGAAGCCGAGTTAGAAGGGGGGGGGGTGTTCGAACACCCCCCCCCCCCCAGCAGGGCGTGGAAATCCAGGACCCCCAGCCGGACGCGGGTTAATCACGTGAACTCCGTCGATAACAACTTAACCCGCGACCTGGTGGGGGGGGGGGGCTATTTTTTGCCCCCCCTCCAGACTTTTCGATATATCTCCAGAACCGCTGCGCCGATCGTCACCAAACTTTCAGTACCCTCCCGGACATCAATTTTACACATTGTGACCAAAAATTTTTCCAAAAGCTATGATAGGTTGGCCGGAAATGACGTCAGAGTGACGTCATGTTCTGCCGTTTTCGACCCAAAAAAGGGTTTCGCGGGAAGAGCTGTCAGGCCTATAGCTTTGCAAATACAGAAAAATGTTTAGGACATAAAAGCTGTAGAATTGACAGGGCTACAAAACTGCTGTCTCGGATTTTTGATTTTTTTTATTTTGACCCCTAAAAATCAAAAAATAGATTTTTGGGATATAATAGTCAAAAAATCCAAAAAGTTTTTTGAAGTTCGCAAAAACCGGAATATATGTGATAGTCCTTACCGCCTTCCATCCACATACCAAATTTTAGATTGATACCTCTTTTTTTGGCGAAGTTATAGCAAAAAAAAACTGTTCAAAATTGATGACGTCAAATTTTCAAACTCAATTTTTAGCAATTCTAGACCTCGTAGTGCAAAACAAAAACCACCATTAGACTCCCCGTGACGAGCTGCATCGAATCGATACCCATTTTATGCAAAAATATCAACTTTGAAATTTGACCTTTTTTGACCTGACCTTGACCTGACCTCCACCAGAAAGTGACCTAAACCGTACCTAATGGTCTTATAACCAACACCATTGGGTTGGAAATGAAAAACTGGCCATAAAACATGCATCGCACAACCTTAGTAAAGTTGGGTTCATGTGGTGACCCTTGGTGACCTTTGGTGACCTGACCTGTGACCTGACCTGGTATGACCAGTGACCTCTAATAGCAACATATGTACTAGACAACTGACGTCTTATCGCTGATTTTCGACAAAATGCGTTTTACTCGGTGTTATAGCGCTTTCCCTAGAAGCCCCGTGAACGGTGAAACATTTTATCTTTGACCTGACCTGTGACGTCATCGGTGACTCCGAGGTCAATAAAATTTGGTTTCCCTCGACAAATTTGACAGGGCTATCGAACGCCGTTTGAATTTTCGGATCCGTCCAGTAGTTTCGGAGATACGAGGGGGGCAAAAATAGCCCCCCCCCCCCACCAGGTCGCGTTATAAACAGACCCCACCAGGGCGCGGGTTAACCCTATTCCTGGCGGGCTCCGCCGGGACAAGAAACTGGCGGGGGGGGGGGCCGATTCGGCCCCCCCCCCCTGAGATCTCGAGAACGAAGCAAGATAGCGACAAACGGTAAACGGCATCGGATACGCACGGTCAAGATCTACAATTTTTACTAAGGTCATTTTCAGGTCAGGTCAAAGATGACGTCACAGGGGTCGAAAAAGTCAAAATGGCGGCGCTAGATATGGAGAGTTTTTCTCGAATAACTTTCGAATTAGTCAAGATAGGAACAAACTAAGGGCATCATCGTGATCCTCTCGTCAATCCGCATCGAATGATATATATGTTGACCTCGCAAGGTCAAGGTCAAAGGTTGACCTCAGGTCACGTGACCTCGAGGTCATCATGTATATCATTCGATGCGTCTTGACGAGCTGAACACAATGAGACCATCCACGCGTCTGTATCTTGTTCCTGTACGGAGTTATTGGCCAAAAACCTTTGGTGACCTTTGATGACGTCACATGACCTCACAGCTGCCCAACAGCAAAACAGACCTCAAGGTAGTGAAGGTTGATCGTATATGAAGTCATGTATGGTATATGGGACCATTCCGACCCGTTTTAGTGGTAAAAACAGGGAGTTGATTTTTCCCCCATTGACTTATAATGGGGAGGTCGCGAAACTGACCTGACCTTAGGTCACCGATATCAAAATTCCGAGATATACAAATTGCACATACTGGTACCCTAACTAAAGCCTGAAGAGAAGAAATTGATCGGTCAAAAACTCTAGCTCTGGCGTGATTGCAAACTTTTCTGAGGTAGGGTCACCAAACCGCCTCTGGTGACCTGACCTGAGGTCAGATCAACTCAAAATTTTCAGATATGTTGCGTAGAAGCCTTTTAGGAAAAGTCAGAAAATTTGAGCTTCCTAGCTCAACGCGTTTGGGAGAAATAACCAAAAAACCTCAGGGGGGGGGGGCTCCTGATGCCCCCCCCCCCCCGCCAGGAATAGGGTTAAGAAGTGTCGACGTGAATACCAAATTATACTTACGAAAGAAAATCGGCTTGCGAAGTCGACGTGAATACGGCCCCTGGTTTTTGTGACCTAGTGACCTGACCTGAAAAGACTAAGACTTGAAATTTTTAGGATAGGTGCGAAAAGGTTGCCCTAGAAGCTATGCCAAATTTGGCGGCACTACCGCCGTTTTTAGGTTATTTGCGAAAAACCTGGGGGGGGGATTGCATTGATCCCCCTCGCCGGGCGAGGGTTAAATTTCAATTAATAACATACCTACCTACCAATCATAAATAAAACCATTTTTGCATTGAATTTTGATGTAACACACTCATCTGATGTTTACTTACATGTGCTATTTCTTTGTTGTTTTGTTGCATTATGTTCTATTTCAAGCCTGATTTTTCATGCTTATGATAATTTGATAAACATTTGCTTTATGCAGTCACAGTTCAAATCATGTTCAGCAGACTCACCTAGTGAATCTAGAGCATTTTAGGTGCATTTTAATGGGCACAGTGGCTTTGAAAATTGTTGTTGGACTTACCAGCCAGTACTCAGTAGTAAGCAGTGTTCAGTTATCCACAGCTTCATAGGTCTATTGCGCGTAGCCACATATTATGTATATGTACCTATTGATGGGTTGGTTACACTGTATCCATAAAGTGTCATCTCATGGTGTATGATTTCATTGTCATTTTCACAGCTGAATGGCCAAACCCTGAACGGTGATATCAACCAGGTGGCCTCCCAGCTGGGTGAGCTCCAGTTCGAAGAGGAAGATGAAGATGGATTTTACAACAAGGTGGGTGCAATAACAGAATTGAACTGCAATAACTAACACAACTGCAATAACAGAACTCACCAACAGAAAAATAGCCGCCTGCCGGAATTTTTTACCTTAAGACCGTTTCACATACGGAGCGTAAACAGTAAAGCCCTATCCGCTTACGTGCCCATCGCCTTTACCCTCCGTATGTGAAGCGGTCTTAAGGCAAAAAAATTCCGGCAGATGGCTATTTTTCGGTTGGTAAAACTGGCTTCTGTGCTGGTATTAAAGGAGGGCCAGCAAAGCTTCATCTGCTGTTTCTTTATGTTCGAGGAAATATTAAGTATCAACTTGGTTATTCAGAGTATTGGAATACGTGGATAGCCTTCTCAATATGCTTCATCAACTGATTGAAAGCAGACAGGAATATCTATAGGATGGCATTATCCTCTTTTACACATTTTCAAAATAAATTGTCTGAATCTTTTGAAATGAAAGATTGACAAGGACAGAGCCCTCATTAACCCTCGCCCTGCTGGGGGGGGGGGGGGGTTGAACACCCCACTGTGGTTTTTCGTTTCCGCGCCACCGTTTTTTTTTTTTTGACACACCTTATCATACATCAATTCTACACATGTTGTGAAAATTTCAAACCAAGGTCATTCAAGGTCAGGTCACTAGGTCACTTCAAGTGACCTCACCTCATAAAAAAAAATTTCAACGTCTGCTATAGCTACACCGAGTGAGCGATTGTTTTGAAACTTTCAGCGATTGTTAAGAGAAATATTGGGTACAAAATGTGTATCTCGGAATTTTGATATCGATGACCTAGGGTCAGGTCAATTTTGCGACCTCCCCATTATAAGTCAATGGGAGAAAATTGAAAGGCGCCTCTTTTGGACGAAAGCCGTTATAAACACTCTCAAACAGTGAAATACACGTAACTTTGACACATTGAACGTGAAAATGGTACCTGTGACCCCTGTTTATGCCCCTGAGGTCATCTCAGGGCACAAATGATATCTAACAGTTTTTTCGCGAATAACTTTTGATAGATGCACGATAGAGCGATGAAAACGACTTGGTTGTGTTCAGCTCGACTATACGGATCGACTGCTGTGCAACATGACCCTTTCGGGTCGGGTCACTCATGACCTTGACCTGAGGTCAAATTTTCAAGTGGACCTTTCAAGGTCAAATTATAGTTTTTCGATGCGTCTTGACGAGAGGAATACGATGCCGTTAATAGCATGCTCGGCAAGGCCTGAGTCAAAAGTAATTGCAGAAAAACAGTTCCTGAAAAAATCGGTTATTTTGGCAGTTTTTGCCCCCTGCAGGCAAAACCGCTGACGCTAGGTCAAATATAAAAACCACACGCAGAAAGGGTGTTAATAGGGCTACCGAATGCGCTTTTCCGCGGTGCTGTAGCTCTATACGTTCCCGAGTTATGCGTTGGCTTCTTGGAAATTGTCCACATTCAACCTAAAAATTGGCGAATTTTTGCCTTCAATGACCTCTGGTGACTTGACCTTTGACCTGACCAAAAAAAAAAGAAAAATGACTTAAGTGTTTTTTTCATTATTTTTTGGCGCTCCTTCGAACGCCGCCTTCCGCTTATTACTACGTGGCCCAGGAGCCGAGTTAGAGGGGGAGGGGGTGTTCAAACACCACCCCCTCCCCCCCAGCAGGGCGTGGAAATTCAGGACCCCCAGCGGGGCGCGGGTTAATCAGATTTTTCTGTATTGGCCTGCCCTCTACCCTCCAATCGCACAAGTCCTGTCTATGACAGAATTTAGAGTCTTACGCACATAGCCGCGCACGTCCGGTCCCCTCACCAATTCGGCTGGCTCCGGCCTGCCACCAACCGCAACCGTACCTGTCAGGATTCTGCATAGTTAACATTGAGCGACCGTCGCGCTTCGAACCCAGGACTTTTATATCCGGGACGCGTGCTCCTACCACGCGGAGCCAAACGCTCTACTGACTAAGCTACACCTACCGGCACTTTATTATCAATGCTTCTAAAAAAACATTGCAATCACATTACTTTCATTTTTTTGAAAAATAAGCTTTTCTTTATTGCCAATGTTTTCAGTGAGATCCAAAGGCGTATTATGCAAACACTACTACTAGACAGCTGATGTATGCTTGTGCCATCCATAGAGGCGACTGTTGTCTGATATAGCTGAATGCCTTCACGTACCCTGTGCACTGTCTCAGCCGCCCGGCCCCCACCCTGTGCCCCGCGCAGGAGCTGCCCGCCCACGCCTGCAAGTACTGCGGCATCCACGACCCCGGCTGCGTGGTCATGTGCAACATCTGTAAGCGCTGGTTCTGCAACGGGCGCGGCAACACGTCCGGCTCGCACATCGTCAACCACCTGGTGCGGGCCAAACACAAGGTGCGCCTTCGACCGGGAACCGCTACCGCGTGCTGCTGTCCCGGCCGGCCTGGAGAGCCTGCGGTGTCCTGCTGTGGTGGTGCTGTGGAGATATTTCTAGTAATATGGATTCAGTTATGATTTCCTTGTCTATGAAATTGATTGATTGGAGGTTAGGTTGACTGAACACATGCAAGTTTAAACGATGCTATTTGAATAGGCCGGTCTGGGGCTTGTTTTGAAAAATGAAAGTACTCTTTACTTTCAGCCGTTTGCTCGCTTATCAACCAAAGCATTGTGAAGTAGTATTCCAGCAGTGACTACGGAAATGGCTTGTCTCACTGTCATGCTGCACTGACGGTCTGATCTGCGGATCTCCCGGCTGCCCTCTCCTGACTGTGCGCCTCTGCCTCCCCTGACTGTGCCTCTGTCCCCCCCCCCCTGACCGCGCCCCTGCTCGGCCGCCCAGGAGGTGACGCTCCACCGGGACGGCCCGCTCGGGGAGACGGTGCTCGAGTGCTACTCGTGCGGCGTGCGCAACGTGTTCGTCATGGGCTTCATCCCGGCCAAGGCGAACTCTGTGGTGGTGCTGCTCTGCCGGCAGCCGTGCGCCGCCCAGACCGCGCTGCGAGACGTCAACTGGTCAGTGCCGGCCGGGGCGGGACCAGGGAGATGGGCGCGGGGGCGCGGAATTCGGGTGGATTATCTCAGCTGTTGTGATGATGTGGTTGACTCCGTGATGCGCGGGGATGGTCAGTGAGTGGGTAATTGTCATCGTCGTGGAATGGGTAGCAGTAAGTCTTCCGGTTATCGCGATCAAAGCGGGAGATTGACAGACCGGTCGGGCTAAAGTGGCTAGTTGCAACTTCGGACTTCCAGAAACTAAACCAATGGCATGGCTTCGAACCTGCCAGTTCACTTCCTAAAGAGATTTAAAGGAGCTGCGCTTTGCAACGTCTTGGCTGGTCATTGATCTCTATCGTATTTGCTCGGTTTTGGAGGTGCTGAGTCGTATGGACGGGAAATGACAGTCTTCATCGACAAACTTCACCCTTTATGGCTGTATGTAAGGCCCTTTTTATCGAAAGGAATCAGCCTTTTGTTTAATTTGGCACTAAGCCATGGAGGCAGTATACATCGTATGTCCGTAGTTTCGGTAGGTGCGCCCTGTCGGCGCGTCCGTGACCGCCCCGGTCCGCCCCCAGGGACCCGGAGCAGTGGAAGCCGCTGATCCTGGACCGCAGCTTCCTCTCCTGGCTGGTGAAGGTGCCCTCGGAGCAGGAGCAGCTGCGCGCCCGCCAAATCTCCGCCCAGCAGATCAACAAGCTGGAGGAGCTGTGGAAGGATAACGTGGACGCCACCTTCCAGGACCTGGAGAAGCCGGGAGTGGACGAGGACCCCAACCAGGTCCTGCTCCGGTGAGCCGCTAACTGAGTTTGTCTGGGCTGCCCAGGCTCCAGGGCTGTGTCGTAGTTTGTACATTTTGTTTTCATACTGCACCGCCGTACGGATAGCGATGCTGATCGGTTACTGCTGCAATATATTAATCAAAGATCAAATAAAGCACACTCAGTTGTGTTGCAAATTGCAATGCCTTCTCATAAGATGACAGCTTACTTAGTAACCAGTGATTGTATTATACAAGCTTGTTCTTGTGAAGATCGTGTAAGTGATTCAGATACAGCAGGTGTTAGCCGGTTGAGAGCGGTGTAATTGTCTGCAAGAGCCGGCGATAGTATCGCAGTTGTGCCGCTGCGGCCGCACCCGTTGGCTAACCGGTCGGCGGCGGCTGCCGTGTGTGCGTGTTTCAGGTACGAGGACGGCTACCAGTCGGCTAACCGGTCGGCGGCGGCTGCCGTGTGTGCGTGTTTCAGGTACGAGGACGGCTACCAGTACCAGAATATCTTCGGGCCGCTGGTGAAACTCGAGGCCGACTACGACAAGAAGCTGAAGGAGTCGCAGACGCAGGACAACATCGAGGTACGCTGGGACCAGGGCCTCAACAAGAAGACGATCGCCTACTTCAGCATGGCCAAGACGGACGGCGACATGCGTCTGATGCACGGCGACGAGCTGCGGATCCGCTACCTCGGCGAGCTGCACAAGCCCTGGTCAGGCGTCGGCCACGTCATCAAGGTCTCCGACAACCGCGGCGACGAGGTCGGCATCGAACTCAAAAACAACTCTGGCATCCCGCTGGAGTGCACGCACAACTTCGTGGTGGACTTTGTGTGGAAGTCGACGTCGTTCGACCGGATGCAGGCGGCGCTGAAGAAGTTTGCCGTGGACGACCAGTCGGTGTCGTCCTACATCTACCATCGGCTGCTCGGGCACGAGATCGACGAGGTGCTCTTCCGCTGCCACCTGCCCAAACACTTCTCGGCGCCGAACCTGCCCGAGCTGAACCGCTCCCAGGTGTTCGCCGTCAAGTCGGCGCTGCAGCGGCCGCTCTCGCTGATCCAGGGCCCGCCCGGCACCGGCAAGACGGTCACCTCGGCCACCATCGTCTACCACCTGGTGAAGCAGACGCACGGCAGCGTGCTCGTCTGCGCGCCCTCCAACATCGCCGTCGACCAGCTGACCGAGAAGATCCACCAGACGGGGCTCAAGGTGGTGCGCGTGTGCGCCAAGTCGCGCGAGGCCATCGACAGCCCGGTGTCGTACCTGGCGCTGCACCACCAGGTGCGCAACCTGCCCAGCTCTGGCGAGCTGCAGAAGCTCCAGCAGCTGATGGACGAGGCCGGGGAGCTCTCGGCGGCCGACGAGAAGCGCTACCGCATCCTGAAGAAGACGGCCGAGAAGGAGCTGCTCGAGGCCGCCGACGTCATCTGCTGCACGTGCGTCGGCGCCGGCGACCCGCGGCTGGCGCGACTGCGCTTCCAGTCGATCCTCATCGACGAGAGCATGCAGGCCACCGAGCCGGAGTGCATGGTGCCGGTGGTGCTGGGCGCCAAGCAGCTGATCCTGGTGGGCGACCACTGCCAGCTGGGCCCGGTGGTCATGTGTAAGCGGGCGGCGCGCGCCGGACTCTCGCAGTCGCTGTTCGAGCGGCTGGTGGTGCTGGGCATCCGGCCGTTCCGGCTGGAGGTGCAGTACCGCATGCACCCGGCGCTCAGCCGATTCCCCTCCGACTTCTTCTACGAGGGCAGCCTCCAGAACGGTGTCGTGGCGGGTGAGAACCGACTGCGGGCGGGCCGCGGGTGTGGCACGACTGGGTGGAACTGGGCAGGCGGTGAAAGGTGGCGATGGGACAGGCGACACAGGTTGCTCACTCTGAGCCCGCATAACTTACATACGCAAGAGATTGGGAAGTATTCATTACTAACTGACGTATTTTTATCGGGAAGGTTTTCGATATTATGAGTGGACAGCTCTTTGCCTGAATATTTAGTGATTTTAAATAATGGTTGTTCTTATCCTAGCGCTTTGTTTTCATTCAAGGAAATGTTATGCATTACGAGCTCTACTACAAAGGCACTAGAAGAAAAAATAGTACGAACCTAATACCGCATCCATGTAATGTAACTATCTCTAACTCTCTGTCCCTCTTCCCCCGCTTATCTTCAGACGAGCGTAAGCTGAAGACGGTCGACTTCCCGTGGCCGCAGCAGGAGACGCCCATGTTCTTCTTTGTCACCTCCGGCCAGGAGGAGATCGCCGGCTCGGGCACCTCCTACCTGAACCGCACCGAGGCCGCCAACGTGGAGAAGGTGGTGACCCGCTTCCTGAAGGCCGGCCTGAAGCCGGAGCAGATCGGCGTCATCACGCCGTACGAGGGCCAGCGCAGCTACCTGGTCACCACCATGCAGTACCAGGGATCGCTGCACGCCAAGCTCTACCAGGAGGTGGAGGTGGCCAGCGTGGACGCCTTCCAGGGCCGCGAGAAGGACGTCATCATCATGTCCTGCGTGCGCTCCAACGAGCACCAGGGTATCGGCTTCCTCAACGACCCGCGACGACTCAACGTGGCACTCACACGAGCCAGGTCAGACTCAGGGGACCGCGCCGCGGCGCCGGCCGTGCCGCCGGGGAATCAGGAGGCTCGGTATTTTTACGTATGAGATGCTTGTGATTTTATGCATATAATCATTTTGTTCCACATGAGCTGATATCGTTATTGGCGGCTCGCTATAGCCTAGGTAGCGGTTTTCATTGATGAACTAATGGCATGTTTTCAGCTCGGTGTTGTAAGGGCGACCCTCTCGCCCATAAGCGGCTGATTTTGAAGCTAGCACGCCATTCCACCTTATCCACTCACACCGACCCGACTTGTGACAGGTTCGGTATCATCATCATCGGCAACCCGAAGGTGCTGTCGAAGCAGCCGCTGTGGAACCACCTGCTGACCTTCTACAAGGAGCAGAAGGTGCTGGTAGAGGGCACCCTCAATAGCTTCAAGGAGTCGATGATCCAGGTGAGTCATAGTCGGGTGTGTCGTGGAACAGCCGCTTTGAGTATGTTTGAGCAGGACGTGGCTGTGGTGTGGTCGTGCAGCTGTGTTGACAAAACATTTCCGCATATTTTGGCGCTGAACAGTTATGTTGCAGCTGTTTCGGGCTTGTTGAGGAGTTTTCCGACGCTAGCTTTTACCACTTGCACCGATATCAGATGGCTTTAGTTAGGGTGTCCTAAAACCCTTCCCCCAACACCTGTTCAAACATGTTCTCATAACAAAACACTGTGTTTAAAGGTAGTGTGCCAGCTTTCTTGGACCGTATGGAGTTAATGGCCCAGATAAGGAGAACCGGATTTTTAGAACTTATCCATACCTTCAAAACTCATGGAAACGTCTTAAATTCTTCAAATTTTGAGTACCCCAGTGCGAAATTCGCCCCGACGGGTTGTCGGTCGTACCCCAACCACATTTCACACCACTATGAACAATAAATGCACACACTGAAATCGCTATTACCGATATGCTCATCCAATCAAGTCTCGATAAACCCGTTCATCATCATCTCCTGCGGTTTCGAACACGTCTGTTAGGTGTCTTCTGATGCTCGTCGAGGTCGGAATTTCCAAATACGCGTGGTGCGTCGGGCCGCGCGCTCTGACTTCGGCCAAGAAAAATGCGTCAGCTGATCATTGTCATTTCTGCCACTTGCGTGTGGTGGAAATGGGGTCGTAACTTATAAGACGGCTTTTTCATATCAATTATTTTACATAAAATCATATTTCAAACCATAAATAATGTTCGACAGCCAAATAAAAGAAACAATACAATACGGGCTTACAGTTTAAGGCTCGACGTCTACGATTAGACAGCTGATAACTCATTCCCGTACGTCGTATGGTCGTAACACTATAATGACCTTTGCTTATTGTCACAAGTGCGCCGCATTCGCGATTGTTGCCCGACGCCTGTTTGCAGGTGAGCCCACTACAGTTGTTATACATATCTAAAAACCGAAAAACTTTTAGGCGAAAAAGGCACTATTCCAGGCCCATTTTTGATTTTTTTTTGCGATATTAGGTAAAAACAGAAGCTTCTTATCCTAGGAAAAATAAAATGGGAAATCTTTCAAAGGTGGCACACTACCTTTAAGTAGCGAGTATTTTCTGCGGCTTTACTCGCGTTCCGCAGAGTACACTGTCTGACCTCTCCCCCCTCCGGTTCTGTTTTCAGTTCGCCAAGCCGCGGACACTGGTGAACAACCTGAACCCGGGCCAGCACTTTATGAGGACGACCACGTACGACGCGCGCCAGGCCATGGTGCCGGGTAGTATGTACGACCGCAGCGGCCAGATGGCCGGCATGGCCAACCCCTACATGGGACGCGGTGAGACAGGGCGTGGGGACGGGTAACACGGTGTGTGGGGACGGAAGGCGAGAGCTGTGGTGGTTGTGGTGCAGGTTGGCTGCGTTAGGGAAGCCATTTGATAGCTCGTAATGTCTCCTTATAAAAAGAGTCACCAGTTTCAGAATCTGTTGTGGTCGTGCAATGTGCATGTGCTGTCCGTCACTTGCAGTCAAGTGCATCTATGTTAATGGTTACATTCAGTGCCTTGACTGGAAATCCTCGTGTCAGATATGAGTCATTGGTGACATCAGTTTTTTTCTGTGGCTGCTGTCGTAACGTCACTGTGTCCGTTTGTCTCATGTGCGGTGTAACTGTTGTGTTATCGGCAACTGTGCTGACAATTTGACATCCCTGCTCTTCCAGTGTATGACTCCCCGCTGACACTGTGTCCCCCCGCGCTCTGCACTGCTCTACCAGTGACATTTGACTCCCCACTGACACTGTGTCCCCCCCCGCGCCCCGCTCCGCCAGGTATGGGCATGGTGGACTTTTCCCGCACCCACGACCCGATGGGCTACATCTCGCCCGAGCACGCGCAGGCGGCGCTCAACGTCTCGCTGCCGGTCAGCATGTTCATGAACATGTCGCACATCCCGCCGCGCTTCTTCAACCAGCACCAGCAGGCCGGCATGCAGGGTGAGCCGCGGCGGCCGGAGCGGCCTCGGCGGCTGTGTGTGTCTGTGGCGGAGACACCAGCGGGCCGGGGCTATGTCAGAGGAGCTGCTCACTGTTTTTGGGGCTGTTCGGATGTTTGGGAATGGATGGGACGGTGGTAAATAGCTGTCATTGACGTACCGTTGATATTCTGGTATGGTATGCTGCGATAGCTCAGATGGGCGTGGGTCTATTGGGTGCAAAGGTCAGCTATGCGACTTTTAACTTTGTGTTGATACTGTGCCTATCGCCGTATTCGGCGCAAAGTACATATTTTGCCGCTCTTAGACCGTTACTCAGCGCCTTTTTCCGTGACTGAGCGTTATACTGACGTCCGGTGGTAAGTAGCTCAGGACCAGCGGGCTGACAGTATATACTTTGGCATTGGTAGCCCTCCCGCGTCCCCTGTCGTCCCATTCCTTTCAGGTGCCGTGAACTGACGCCTCCTCACCCCGCTCTGTGCCGACAGGACGCGACTCTGGCCGCGGCCGGGGCGGCAGCCGGCGCGGCCGCGGCGGTCGGCCCAGCACGGCCGGCGTCAACTCGCAGGGCTCGCAGGGCCTGTCCCAGCAGGGCTACAGCCAGGACGGCACTCAGCAGTACACCCAGCAGCAGGGCGGCGCCCAGCTCACTCAGAACATGTCCCAGGTGCGTGTGGGGCCAGCGGCCACCGCGTGTCGGGGGTTAGTGTTGGGGCCGAGAGGATGGTCGACTGCCGTAACGAAGATGTGTCAAGTTGTGTCGTATACGCTAGTAACGTCATCAAGTAACCGCACTACAGAATGTCGCATGGATATCAGTCACTTTTCTGGGATTATCGAAACATCATCGAGTTGTTTTCGATTATCGAAATATTGTCGAGTTGATCGAATTGAAGTCGTCTTTTCCATAGTCGTTCAGAAGCTGGGTTAGCACTAAGTATCTTGTGGTTTTCGTAATTGCTGACAATCTAGGCTGAACAGCTGTTTCCACTTGATGTTGTCAATATGTAGTAATAGGATAGGATCCTCGATATCAACATTGCAGTGTAAGTTACAGCTGACCGCTCGGCTCACCCCGCGCGCGTCGATCCGCCCCGCTCACCCATCGGTCCGGTCTGCTGTGTCGCAGTCGATGTCGCAGCCGGGCGGCGGGTTCAGCCTGTCGCAGCCGGGCCTGTCGCAGCCGGAGCTCTCCCAGGAGCCGTACGCTATGGGCGAGTTCCACTCGCAGGCCGACGGGCTGCTCTCGCAGGACTCCACCTACCAGGGCGACCGGAGCGCCTTCCTGCCGGGCGCCTCGCAGGGCGCCCAGTTCTCCCAGGTGAGGACGCCCGCGCGGCCAACGGGGGTGCCGAAAGATAGCGTGATAAAATGCCATTTTAGGTTTGACTGATGCGGATCAAACAGCCAGGCAGAACAGACATGAAATCATCCCTTCCAGCGTGCTTTATAAATATCTTTTTTGTTGTTCGGCATGTCAGCGCTTTCGTTTACATATGAGCTACGCTTTGACGACCATCTCGTGACCGGCTGCTGCTCACTGCAGCTCGCTGCTGACCCGTCTGTCGTTTGTGTGGTGGTGTTTCAGCCCTACTGAGCGGCGTCCGGTCCTGCTGAGATAGAACGGCGACAAAGTGGTCAGCCACGGTGCGGCCCGGGAATCCCGCATTCACACTCGCAGACAGACCAAGAGACGACGCAGGAGCCCTGGAGGCGCAGGAGCCACCACTCCTGAGGAGGGCGCCCGCGCAGGAGACGACGCGGAGAGGCGAGAGCCATTCAGCGGCCATCAGCCGAGCTTTGGAGAGCGGAGGAGCCGCAGGGAGAGAGGTATGCCAGAGCGGAGGGAAGAGCAGCAGGAGGAGGAGCAGTCGCGGCAGGATAACACGGAGCCCACACACCAGCCAGCGGGCGCAGTGATCCGGCCAGTCAGCCAGCCAGAGGCGGAGGGGCGGCCCTTACCACACAACTAGCGCTGCCGAGCCGCCGCGGCGGGGCGCGCCGGGCAGTCGCGACCGCCGCTGTGCCTACAACCGGCCACCGAGCGGCCGCCAGCGGAGCCCCACCAGCCACAGAAAGCGGTCCCACCAGCCGCGGAGCGGCCGATGAACCCCACCCAGCCGGCCAGTCGGTGGGACGGAGGGCGGCGGCGGTCCGCCGGGACAGCACTGGGCGGCGGGTGACGCGACCGTCCGCGGCCAGCTGCACGGGGACCCTGGAGAGGCCGTCTCCCGGCCGGCGGCCTCGCGCCGGGTCCCGCCCCAGGCCGGGCCCGTCAGCGCGGTTCAGTTTTGATTGTCAGACTGCCCGACTTCCCGGAGTCGCTCTTTCTCTCTCTCCTTCTATGATTCTTGTCGAAAAGGCGACGGCGGTCAGAGCTTGGCCGATTCTGTTTTTGGGTGCTAATTTGGTTTTATGACGTGGTTAATAAATTTGTTACGCTTGCTGATGCTTTGAATACATTTAGTTTAAGAACCGGGTTGTTTGTGACAGAGAGGCAAAAGTAAATAGGGCTTCGCCGGCGGGAGAGGACTTTGGTGCAGTGCAGGAGGCCGGCTGACGCATTGACGGGGTGACTAGGACCATACCCTGACTAGGACCTATCATGGACGTGTCGCGGCTTGCACATTGACTAGGGACCAGCTTCTTGCATCATCAGGACCGATTGTGGATGTGACATCAGACGTGGAACAGTAATCGAGATGGCCTAAGTCGTCCTTCAATCGTTACGGATGTAAGTTGAGATGATAGGGTTCTCGCCAGTTCGCCACACCTCTTGGTGAGAAAGAGGCTTCACTTTCAGACTAATGATAAGTTAACTATTCAGTGGTAGATGCGTCCAAAAAGTCACTGGCTTTCTGCGGTCCAATATAAGCTTGTTGCAGTCAGCATTGCATCTCTCCCCGGTCCCCCCCCCCCCCCCCGCATCACTCATAGGAGCCAGTCATAAATCTTACCACTACTGCGCATGCGTGTAGGTCACGTGACCGTGGGGAACTGGCGCATTGTGGACCCGCATTGTATTCGCGGGTTTTGGTGAGATTGGTTGCGGGTGATTGCTTGGCCATTTATTTGATTTTGCGGTTATTTCGGTGTGTCAAGTGGCTTTTATTTTATTATTCCTCGTATCTTTCTATCAATGTGCCATGTTACATTGATTTTCTCCTATTAAAGCGCTCCTTGCCGGGAGTGGCACGATACTGGTGATGGGGTGTTTTCCGCCATAAACGTCTTTATTTCTAGTAGCTTAAGTGCTAGGAGGCTATATGATTGGCCATTTTAGCACTTAAATGGCATATTTATTCATACTTTACAGGGTTTTTGCGTAATTTGCTTCAAATGTGCGGAGGTTTACAGATGCGGCGAAAGTGGCGCAGTGTGTTCTTTGTTTAGAAGCGTGGCCTGCCCGACAATGATGTAGCGTTGAATTATTTCACTGCACATGCCTGTAAATCTACCATCTTTCCATTATTTTCTCTTGATGAATTGGTGCTTGATCATTTGTTTCGATAGTCACAGGCTGACGTACCTTAAGTTGTGTTACTTTTACGTTCCCACATGGTCAGCTGATCAGTGCTTATTGCTGAATAATAAATGCAACCACAAATCTAGAAATCCAAGGGTTCACTTAATACCTCTTTTTGGTCCTTGCACATTCATGATCCTTTTCATAACATCCTCAGTCTGCTCTGAGAAGCCTCGGTCTATTCTGCAGCCGCGCCCAGTGCTTCTAGCATTGCAATGGATTTCACAAATAAAAATGTCTGACCAGTGACAGGAGTATGGTGATATGGATTTCATCCCTTATGACCAGTAATTGGTCTTAGTTCAGTGCTCATTTCTTATGTCATTTTGGAGGAAACATAAAATTCAAGATGATCTATTGGATTCCATCTAGTTGTATCTAGTTGTATTTGTAAAGAAAATAGTACCCATTTTTGTGCAAAAAAAACTTAATTTAATGCTTTTTGCACAGGATAATTTTTCAAAATCTGATGAGTTTAGATTATTTGCTCACCTTTGGTCTGTAGTACCTACAGCTGACCACAATCACACCCATTTAGTACCTATGTGGTAATCTTGAAAATAGTATTGATCTTGAACACTATCCATGGTCTTTGAACACTAAACTAAACCCATGGCTTAATAATAGAGATCTAGTTCTCAGTGGTAGCCCAATTTTTGCACTATTCTTCCATGTTAGTTTTATTTTGCACCAACCAATCTTGTGTAGTAACTTGTGTGATGTTGCCCACATCATTATGCAAATGGATCTTTATGTTTACCATGTAGGTAGTTTGTGTTTTACATTTGGATATTATAGCTTATCAAATCTCTTTATTTTTTGCTGCAAGGCTGAATTCCCTATTTTTTCTTTCCTTAGGGTCAGGTTTTGACAATACAGAATAATTGATTTTGATGCACAGCAAGCCTTTTCGTTTTATTTTTGTGTAATCTTCATTTTTGTGATACTTGTTTGGCATTTTGGTTTTGGTAACCAGAGCAGACTGTAGTTGGAGCTGGAGCATTGAATGTCTCTTGGATTGCAGAATGCTTGATATGCAGAACTAAAGATTTTTCGCTGGCTTTTCCATTGTTAAGGTGATAACGAACCTTGGTCCCCAATCCCATAGTGCAGTGAGGATGGCCAGACTTTAAAAATTTGAAATGTTTCCAGTCTTATCTTTCAGCTTGCTATCACCATTGCTGTGATTTCTTCTTATTTTTAGAATGGACAGGTCAGGAAGTTGTTTGAGTTAGGACCTTATCTCTGCTATCTCCCAAGTGCTTTCTGAGCAATTAGGAAATGGAAATGTGAAGGAAATATCAAGGGTGGCGCCTGCACATGCCTTCCTCTGGCAAGTGGATGCTTGGCCCTGCGCGAGAGCTGTTTGAGGACTATTTGGCAGTCATGCTCTCATAATTCACATGCACAAGCATACAATCTACAAATCTACAATCTCTTTAAATGCCTCCACACTTCAACCTTGCTATTCTTGCAGGTGTTGCTAAATCCATCTGAATCTGTCTGCTACCCTGTGACTGTCTGCAAGTGTACCCCTGAGCACAGTGTACTATAAATAGTTGCCCCTGAGCTGCAGCAGTGTTCTTATGTCATAAGCTCTTCTGAGCAGTACTAATAATCATGGCATAGTCACTCATTGTGAATGGTCCAAGAATAAGCAGTCTAGATGGGTATTTAGCCAGCAGCTTGGCCAGGCTTGAAGTGGTTTGGTTGGCTAAAATGATGATTGGTGTGTAGTGGAGGAGAGTCATGCAATTAAGGATACAGACCAAGTGCTGCTTTGATGTATGCTGCCTGCGATGGGTTCAGGTGGTCAGTTCTCATGGGCTCATGGGCTGCACTTAATTGTATCATTAAATTTGGTAAGGAAGGGTGTGCACCAAGGAACTAGAGGGGGAGGAATGTGTCACTATCCATCGTTTGGCACTAGATAACAGTAGTAACTAGTAAACCTGCTGAGTTTACTACATTTGCACTTGTGTCCTCATCCTGTCGTCTTCCCGACCGCTCACCTGTGTATTTGTTCTGTCGGCAGATTTATGTACATACTGTACATAGGAGGGCGTGTTTTGTTGTCTGTCGGCCGTGGGCTCAGCGTGTGACACAGTGGGTGGACCATGAGTTCTGGGCGCAGCGCGGGACGCAGCCGCGCCGGCAGGGCCGAGCGGGCCGCCGGCAAGGCAGACACAGCGGCGCCGGCCGGCGGCGGCGGCGGCGGCGGCGGCGGCGGCTCGCAGAGTCAGCCGGAGAAGCCGGCCACCAAACCTCACACCCACCACAGCAAACTGGTGAGCGCCGCAGCGCGGCAGGCGAGAGGTCAGCGGCGTGCTGTGAACCGCTGCAGTGTAGCCCTGCGTAAGGAACGTCTCGCTCTGGCCAGTCGGCGTCTTGTGGTGGACACAGCAGGACTTTTACCGTCATCTGATTGCTAGATATATGGTAACATTTGGCATTTTATCATGATGTTGGTGACATGCCATGATCAGTAATACGTAGGACGAAGGTGATGATAGGGGACTGCCGCGTATCGATTATTCTAATCCTGTTCTGCTCGCTTTCAGAAAGAAGATAAGGTATATGAAGACAAAATCAGTCAGGTTGTACAGCTCACAGGCAAAACCAAAGACGAGGCAGAGATCGCGCTGTACGACTGTGATTATGACCCCACCCGGGCCATCAACATGCTGCTAGAAGGTGACGACCAGGTAAGCTTCGCGACACATTTGCCCTGTCTGTTGTCATCGTCTCACGTAATGAAGCTCATATTTAGTCCAGTTCGCGGCCCATGTCTGATAATAAATGCTTCTGACGAGCGTCCTTGGCCCTGCAGAGCGAAGGGTAGGATGGTGCGAAGGTCAAAGGACTTTACTTCCTATCTTATCTTTATCTTTCTAATCGTACTGCTCTTCACCAATGCGCCCTTCTTCCCCAGGGTGAATGGGTGGAGAAGACGAAGAAGAAGAAGCCTCCGAAGCCGACGCCGCCGGAGTCGCGCTCCGCGGAGAACCACCGGCCGCAGGAGGACGAGCGGGCAGAGCGGGACCGGTCGCGGGCCGGCCGCGGCGGCCAGCCCCCGAGACTGCGGCGCGGCGGCGGCCAGGACCGCAGCTGTGAGTGGCGACTGAGACTGGGGGGGGGGGGGGGCGGCTGGGACTGGACTGGGGCACTGTGGGGGCGGCGACTGAGACTGGTGGGGGTGGCGACTGGGAATGGACTGAGGGCGGCGACTGGGACTGGTAGGGGTGGCGACTGGGACTGGTGGGGGGGGGGGGGCGGCGCCGGCGGCTGGGACTGGTGGGGGCGGCGGCTGGGACTGGTGGGAGAGGGTGACTGGGACCGGTGGGAGAGGGCGGCTGGGACTGGTGGGAGAGGGCGGCTAGGACAGGGCTGGGCCACTGGGGCAAATCCCAGTCACTGGGGCACTGTGGATACTGTGGGGGTGGCGGCTGGGACTGGTGGGTACTAACGGCCGGGCGGGGTGGAGCGACCGATGGCCAGCGAAAGCTATTCTTGCTTTAAAGTGTGTACTTTTTGAATGTGTCATTGTGATGACTTTTTTTGGTGATATATTCGGTTTCTATAGTTTGGTGGTTGCTTTTAGGCGCCAAAGCTGGGAAATGATCCGTCGTTGTTATATATCTTATCACCAAATTTTATTAAAATGGACAAGCTGGAACTTTCATAAAGGCTGTATGCACTTGTTCAGTCAGCGTCGACTGCCTCAATGCTGGACAAGCGCTGCTTACTGACCCGACGTACCCGACCTGACCCTCAGGGAAGGCGAGGGAGACACGGGAAAACGAGAAGAACGCGGCCGGCGGCGGCGGCGACGGCGAGCGGCCGCGGTGGGGTCGGGGCGGCGCGCGAGGCGGCCGCGGCGGCCGGCGCGGACTCGGGGCGCGCAGCTTCCAGGGCCGGCCGCGCGGCGACGACTTCGCCTCGATCGACACGTGGACGAACCCGGGCGGCGACGCCGGCGGCAGCTGGGACCAGACGTTCCCGCCGGCCGACGACTGGGACAACGAGGAGTGGGCCGGCTCACTGTCCGACACCAAGGTGTTCACGCCCAGCGCGCCCGCGCAGCCGGCCGCCGCGCCGGCGCCCGACGCCTCGCCGCCGGCCGCGCTGGCCGAGCCGCCGGCCGCCTCCACCCTGGGGCCCAGTCTGGACTTGAGCGCGCTGCTCGGCAAACCGGCCGCCGGCAGCGGCACCAACGGCGCCGGCGCGTACTCGCAGTTCGGCTCGGCGCCGCCAGAGGGGGACACGGCGGCGGCCAGCTCTGCGCCGAGCGCGTCCGCGGGCGGCACGTACAGCTACAGCAGCGCCACGTCGCGGTCCGCGCCGGCGCCTGCCGCGCCCGCCTACCCGTCCGGCTACACCAACCCGCCAGGTAGGCGCTCCCACTCCGTAAGCTGGCCCGACCAGGATGGCAGACTTATGGGTACCTAGCTCTGCTGCTGACTGCTGAGCTCTGCTTTATGAGATGGCTTGGGCCTTGGCTCTTCTATTCATTAGATAGTTTTCAACAGAAAGGCCTCCGTAGCATCGCGTGGGAGCTGCTTCTTGGCCGTCAGCTTTTTTTTTCTCTGGCTTCTTCTCCAATTTAAGGGCTTCATGGCTTTTTATGTTATGAATACTTACTTGTCATCAGTTTGTAATCAATGTGAGACATGGGCACCATTTTCTCTGCCTTGGTGACTGCAGCAGCATCGTCTAACCTCCCGCTGCCCTGCCGCTCAGGTCTGATCTACTCGTCGTCCAACTACGTGTCGGAGAGCTACCAGAGCCCGCTCAAGTCGTCGGCCCCGGCGGCGGCGGCGTCCTCCGCGCCGGCTGCGACGACCGTTAGCCAGGCCCCGTCAATACCTCAGCCTAGAACCAGGGTACAAAGGCCACCGCCAAAGGTACGGTAGTCCATATTCTTTTGGGGCTCCAGACAAATATAGTATCTTTCTCCACCCAGTGACCTTTTCCTTTGGCATTTCATTAACCGGCTCATGTATCTATTTTTGTGTCGTCTTGTCATTATTAGTTTCGTCGCAGTCATGCTTACCGATGCCCGTCCGCGTTGTTTCAGATACCCGAGTCTGCCGTGGAGATGCCCGAAGAGCTGGTATCCTCGCTGGAGGTGAAGTTCGGAGGGCTGGGCTTTGGGCTGGCCGACACCAAGTCCTCGTTTACGGCCGCCTCCGAGAGCGACGCGGACGGCTTCTCGTCCAGCGGCGCGCCGCCGGCGGCCGAGCAGCAGACGATGGCGCCGCTCTCTGCGCCCAGCCAGCCGGCAAAGGTAGGCCGGACGCGGCCGTGACCCGGCCTGGCGACACCCTGACCCGTACCTCGCTAACACCGCCCGCGCCAGGCCTAACTCGGTCCGACTGCCGTGCTGTGTGCTGTGTGTGTGCTGTAGTCAGTCCCCGGCGGTCGTCCGTCCGTAGCGCCGCTCTAGCCCGCCGCTCGCTGTCCACAGAGCCCGCTGGAGGCGCCGGCCGGCTACTCGGCGCCCAGCAGCGCGGCGGCGGCCGACCCGGCGGCCTCGTCGGCCTCATTCCCGCCGGCGCCGGGCCTCTACTCCTCGCCGTCCAAGGCGGCGGCGTCCAGCGGCGCGCCGGCCGGCTTCCCGCCGGCGCCCAGCGTCAGCGGCGCCTCGTTCGCGCAGCTGTCGGCCGGCTACAGCGGCCAGGTGACGGCGCCCGGCTTCAGCCCGCCGGCGGCCTCCACGGCGGCCCCCTCGGCCTTCAGCCAGGCGGCCGCCTCCAGCGCCTTCCCCAGCAGCAGCTTCGCCAGCAGCAGCTACAGCGGCGCCGGCGCCTTCAACGGCGGCGCGTACTCGGTGCCCGGCTCGGCGGCGCTCACCGGGAACTCGCTCCAGGAGAAACTGACCAACGCGCTGGCGGGCGCGGCCAAAGCCAGTCAGGTGAGCGCCGGTCCCGGCCGCGGGCCGCCCGGAGCAGCGGGCACCGACAGGTCAGCCGCCGAGTGTGCGCTCAGAGAGCGGTGGCCCCGAGCGGCGTGGTGTGTCCCGTCCCCGACCCGGCCTAGTCACCACCCGAGGCTGCTAACATAGCGATAACAGTGTCCGAGTACCGAGCGGAGCCGGGGTGACCGCTTCCTCCATAGTACGACGGAGTACGGACTGAGTGGTGTGGTGGCGACATTCGAGCGCTGAGAGAGTGCTCTATGGACTATGAATTGGTTGTTGCGAGATTATAGTGCATTTGGATTATAGTGTCATTTAAATCTCAAGCACTCATTCATGGGATAAGGCTTACCTCGCTTAGATAATTCATGCTGCTTGCATAAACTCATTTCCATTTAGAATCAAACTATATAAATGCCACCGATGGGTGACCCTTTCCGACATTTCCGTCCGCCCATGTTTCTGCCGTCCCGGCCTCCGACTGTCCCCCTCTGACAGCCCCGTCCCGGCCTCCGACTGTCCCCCTCTGACAGCCCCGTCTCGGCCTCCGACGGTCCCCCTCTGACGGCCCCGTCTCGGCTGTCCCTCTCTGACAGCCCCGTCTCCGCCGTCCCGGCCTCCGACTGTCCCCCTCTGACGGCCCCGTCCCGGCCTTCGACTGTCCCCCTCTGACAGCCCCGCCTGCCTGTCCCCCCTGCCCCCGCTGTCCCCCTCTGACAGCCCCCGTCTCGGCCGTCCCGGCTGTCCCCGCTGTCCCCCTCTGACAGCCCCGTCTCGGCCGTCCCGGCAGTACGACCCGTCCAGCCCGGCCAGCTCGCTGTCGGACGGCGTGTCCACGGCCGCCTCGTCTCTGCCGGCCGGGTTGAGCAGCAGTGCCACCAGCGCGGGCCCCAGCTCAGCGCAGAACGCCTCCGGGCGGACACACGCCGCGTCCAGTGAGTACCGGCCGGCTGACGGGCCGCCCGTCCGCCGCCCGGTAGGCTGGGGAGGCTGCAGGACTGCTGTGTGAAATTCATCGATTAAATAGTACAGACCAGTAAACGTTATTCTCTCAGCCGTGTTCCGAAGTTGTTCCTCGCTTCTGACCGGGTGTTTGTGTCGTGTTTCGGTGCGGTCGGGGAGCTGTCTCTCTGCCCTGTCCTGAAGGTACCCCTCTGTTCCAGTTCGGTCGGGGAGCTGTATTCTCTCTGCCGTGCTCCAAAGGTACCCCTCCTCACTGATCGGGTGTGTTTTGCTGTGTTTCAGCGCGGTCGGGCAGCGTGCCTAGCGTGCCGCCGGGCGTGCCGATGCAGTACTTTGTCGGCCAGACGGGTATGCCCACCTTCTACCCGGGTGTGCAGCAGATCTACGGCTACGAGGAGATGCAGGCGCTCCAGCAGCGGCTCCCGCACCTGGTGAGCGGCGCGGCCAGCGGCGCGGCCCGGGGGGCTGGGGCACACTGCCCGGTTACTGGGTGTAATCGATAGTTATCGCTTCATTGCGAGCCGTTGTGACGTAGCCTTGTACGAAATGTTTTCAGAGGACATGCTATTTCATTTTAGAGGGTTAGGTTCACTACTTTTTACGGAGCGAGCGAAGCGAGCGTAGTCTTTCCTTAGATTAACGGAAATTTCTGAGTATGAGCGGCCGGCCGGCCGGCCGTGCGGACGCTTTTGCGAGGATTATATCTCAGCAACCACTTGACCGATTTACACGGGGTAATTTTTGTAGGGTAGCTTCATTCCTTCTACCAAGTATTGGACTATTCCCGATGCATGTGGGTGACCCCTTATGCACGTGCCACGCGCAAAACGAAGAGGTGTCAGTTTTATAATTGTTGCAATATCTCGGTAACTACTTGGCCGATTGCGCTGAAAGTTGGCATGTAGGTAGGCACCCACTAGGCACTGCATATCCATGTGCCAGAGTTGGGGTGCTGCTGCACGTGCGCACGTGCAGGGGTCGTTTCCAGATCTCGAGAACGGCTGGACCGATGGCGCTCAAATTTGGTACACGGCTAGGGACCAGTTAGTAGGGTGCCGTGCACAAGTCAGTTGGGACCCATTCTGCACGTGCGCACGTGCAGGGTGCCGCTTCCAGATCTCGAGAACGGCTGGGCCGATTGTGCTCAAATTTGGCACATCGCTAGAGACCGGTTAGTAGGGTGCCGTGCACAAGTCAGTTGGAGGTACCCCCTCGAAATTTCGCACGTGCAAGGCTCACCCTCTCGCTCGCTTCGTTAGTCGCCCCAAAAGGCGTTATACTGGTTTATATGCTTTCCCAGTTTCCAACTGCTTACCAACTAGTTACCAGCTGCGGAACTCGAAGTAGTTGTGACAAACTGCGTCGTGAGTCCGAAGCTACACACGCGTGCACCCTAACCGGCCGCGACTGGCCAGTGTTCCCGTCCGTGCCTGACCGCCGCCCTCCCCGCGTGTCGCAGCAGCAGCAGCAGCAGGCGGCGGCGGCGGCTGCGGCGCAGCAGGCGGGCGGCAGCCAGGGCCGCGGCGACGCGGCCGCCGCGCTGGTCGCCGCCATGGCCGACACCAAGTACAGCCGCCAGGAGGCCGCCTCGCCCGTCCAGTCGTCCCTGAACCCGCAGGTGAAGGTGTGTCCGCCAGTCCGCCAGTCCGCCCCGCTTCATCGGCCGCCGCCGCCCGCGCGCGCAGCTTGTAGCGCCTCAGTGGAGTCGGCCCCGCCGGTCTGCTCCGACGGCTGAGGCCGCGCGGTAGTCCGTCTACCGAGGCTCTCTTATAGACTTCTAGGCTTTTTATCTGTCTAGTCTCTCTAGGCTGCGTTCCTTCCAGCTGGTTTGCGCTTGTCTCACGCGATGCTAATATTGGCCGCTAACTTTCGCTGCTGCTTTCTCTTCCCCTCTTCTGATGAAACTTTTTATCACTTTTTGCTTTTGATGATATATTTCTCGTTAGTTCTTTGCATATTTTCTTTCGTCTTATTACAGCGTTAATATATTCCAGATAGTTAGCTGAGCCTGGCTTGGCAAACATTATGTTCCTACGCTCATTTTTCCTGTTTCAGCAGTCTTATCAGACTTATCCGCTAAATCGAACGAGATATGTGTGCTCAATTACCGCTCCAACTCATGTAGACGGCGTGTTTTTATTGCACATCCCTGTTACGTTTCTCCCATCAGATTAACCATTACCCAACACGCAGCCTGTGGCCGTCACTGACGCCCCCCCCCCCCCCTTCCTCAGGGCCAGCAGCAGCAGCAGCAGCCGTTCTTCAACGCGGCGGCGGCGGCGGGCATCCCGCCCAACTACACCTACTTCCCGTTCGTGCCGCAGTACAGCATCTACACGCCGATGCCGCCGGCGACGAACGCGGCGCACCAGGCCTCCAGCGGCGGCAGCCAGTACCCCAAGATGGCCTACAACGCCGCCTCGTTCGCCGGCAGCGCCTACGACACGCTGGCGTCGGCGGCCGGCGCCGACTACAAGGCGGCCCAGTTCGGCAGCTCGGCCGCCCACAAGCTGGCCGGCTCGGGCTCGGCCGGCGCCGCCGACCTCTACGGCAAGATGCAGCAGCTCGGCGGCAAGTTCGACAACAAGGGCTTCCACGCGGCCACGCCGCCGCCGTTCAGCCTGGCTGCTGGCCAGCCGCAGACGACGCCGCTGGCGGCGCCGGGCGGCTACGCGCCGCACATGTTCATCCAGCCGCTGCCGGCGCAGCACCAGCTGGTGCACCCGGCGCACGCCGAGTCGGCCCCGCAGCGCGCCGCCGCCGCCAACAAGCCGGCCGCCAAGAATAGCTACGGCGGCGGCTACTGGCCGGCCAACTGAGCGCGCCGCCCTCCTCCGTACCTACCGGCGGCGCGTGTCGCCACTTTCCGCTCCCGTGTGCAGCGTGTGCGTGCGAGACTCGAAACGGCAAAACGGACCCGCTCTTCTGTGTTCGATGTTAAATATGTGGTAGTGTGTGCCGCTGCCCGTCTGTACATAGGCGCTTCACAGTGAGGCACAAATTGTTTGGAAGATAATCATGTGTTTTGGTACAAAGGCGCGTGGTGGCCGGGCGGCGGTGCCACCGGCCCGGCGGCGCCCGTACCGCGGCGGTTTTAACCTCAGTAAGTCCGCTCGGCCGCCGGCCACGTACCTTTAGACTTGTGATACGGCCGGCCGGTGGCCCGCGGTGCCGGCCAGGGCATTGGAGGAACCACGAGTCTGTGTGTGAGCGCGCGCGAGAGAGAGGACACAGGACGGGAGAGCCGGTGTACATACTGTGTTGCTCGCGCTGACTCTGCGCCGTTTTGGAAATTAGGTGTCGCGATAACTTACTACTTTCATGTTTTGTAATGCCTTCCTTGAGGTACTTCGCCGTCAATACAAAACCCAAGAAGTGATTCACTGGTTCTCAAAGGCTAGTGCCGTCTTCATTATCGTCAGGTAGCAAACGTCGGTATTTCGGGCCGACAAAATACCCTGGTAAATGTCAGTTATAAAAACCAAAGGCTGGGTTGGGACAAGATAGGAAGCCCCTCTCAGGAATTAATGCTGTATTATTCATCTCGCTTATCGGGGAGCAAGGCCCTATCGGGGAGGAGTCTCGCTTATCGGTGAGGAGGACGGTGGGAATGCATCGGTACAGCTCGCTTGTTTGCGAGACTAAAAAAGTAAATGCTGTCGTCTTGTTGTGCCTTGGGGTGCGTTCTTTGAACAGATTTCACGTGAAATTTCACGTGGAATCGGAAGTCAAGCCGTTCTTTGCCGATTCCACGTGAAATCCCGCGGAATTCCACGTGAAATACGGGAATCGGAAAAGCTTGTCCCGAGCGCTTTTTTCAAGATGGCGACGCCCTGTGGAGGGCTCTCTCTATCGTCTGGAGGTTTCGAAAGATGCTCTCCAGAGATGGCGCTAGTAAGTTTGGCTGACATGACGTCATGCTTAAAAGTGATGGGTTTTGTGAGAGCAAATGTAATAATAGTTGAAAATTTTGGTTTTTTGCTTAATTGAGAAAAAATAAACATACAATTGTTCAAAACAGCGTTTTTCTCATTCATCCTTCATTGTTTTAAGAGGAATATAGACAGTTTAAATCTTTTTTCCTGACCGCAATTCGCACACGCACTAAATTAAAAGCTGGAGTTTTGTGCGTTCGTAAATAGTGATTTGAGAGAATAAATTGACAACAATCGTTTGCACTTTTGCTTTACAATCATTTTTCAATGCAGATAAATGCATAAACTATTCGAAAATAGGCATATCTTTGAAATATTATGATTTTCCACAAGCAACTTTTTCCAAAAACTTGAACTACTTACAACTGACGAACGCATCCAATAATCTGGATGTCTTAGGATGAGTTCGTCATTTTTTCTCAAGGAAATACGATACAGTTTAAGCTACTTTACCGATTTATTAGGGTACTTTTGCCAATGAATTAATAAATAAATGACAACAATTAATCTCATTATCAACCATACTCGGAAGAATTTTCTTCGCATAAGCGCGAACACATCCACGCTTTCATGAAAAGTAACGCCTGTAGATGTCAGGACTGCTGCTTTATGTTTCGCAAGGTGGCGCAGCGCGCAGGGTACCGACTACCGAGGCTGAGGTCTCCAGACTCTCCACCACGATTTAGCTTGGAAATGGCCAATGGGGAAGGTCTCACCCAAGAAAAAAACGACGCCCTTTTACACAGCTGCATAACGAGAATGAATTATTGGCATAGCTGACCATACGTCCCCTCCCCCTCTCCGCCCCAGCTCAATTGGAAATATCGCCTTGACTAATTTCTCACTCTTCCCAGTAAACCTTAACATGCATGATGCAGATGTCCACTGCGTAAGTCGTGTGCTTGCGTAAGTGTGCCAACTATATAGTGCTGCCTACACTCTACAGTGCCTACTGCTTCCACCATTGTCGTTATAATTGGTGATTCTCAGGTCAAAAGTTACACAGTGGTCTCAGAGAACAATCGTTTCAACAAATTAACGATTCAAACCGTTGCATTCTACTTATATTCCGGTCAGTTCTGCTACTAAACAATTCCGGCAAAACACTCTTTAGGTTATGTATTAGCGAACCACCACACAAAATTCGCCCAATCAATGGTCAGTTATTACTGCTGGGCTGAACCGTCATACGCTATATAGCCTATTGCAGTCAATATTTTCAGAACGATACCGACTGACGAAACACAACGTATTCGCGGATTCGCACATACGTTGGCACCCAGGTGGCTTGTCAGCAGCCGCACAAATTGAGATGGTACACCGTAAAGCATGCCTTTTCACACAGGCACAAGCACAGGGACACAAATTCTCAAAATCCAAACTTATTCCAATACTGGTCAAATACTAATAGGCATAAAGTTTTGAGGTTTTCTCGTGTTCATTCTTCTTTCAACACACGCGGCAGACTGCAGCAGAACATCGCACAGAGCTGCGCTGGATGCAGTCATGAGCTGGGACACGGTTTGTGACCAATGACCGATCGGGGGTGCCAGCCTCCTCCCGGCACGCGATGCACTGGCCGCCGCGCAGTCGATGTCGGGGCACCGCCGGCATTCGCCGACAGGGTTCCATCCGATTCGGTGTATTGGTGGCAGCCCGAACAGTGACCCACGCGAAGCTGGTGAACGTCGATGGCCGATGAGCGATGCCCTTCCGCGACCGGCGGTGGCAGTCGGTCCCACATCAAGAACAGATACCAGTCATGCGGTCAGTCGGCGACGGCGCGGTCGCGAGCCGATCTGATGGTCGCGCGGTGGGCGTTGCCGACGTCCACCGGGACCGTCGACTGGGGGAGCGCGGCCGCCTCTTGGCCGCCGCCTCTGGTCGGCGCGCTCGTTGCGCTGTGGGACGGCATCCACTGCAAGTCGTTCACTGTGAAGCGGTCGTTTGACCGGACCTGGCAGGCGGGGAAAGGGGGCCTCAGATGAAGTAAAACCATCCCTCAGGCCAGCTTGAGCTGGCTCTCCACCTCACCATGTTAGATAAGCGGACACCCTCGTGATCATCGCAGCGATGATTGCCAATTGGTGTGTCATTATGGGAGAGGATGCCAGCCTCCTTTGCAAGATAGTCTGCCTTTAATATAGTGCAGCCCGATCCATTGCCTGTGGCAGCAGACTGGGCTTGATAATGCAGTGCAGGACACACCAAACGTAAGCGGCCATCTGTACCCCCAGCGCAGTAGGGCTGACTCAACCAGAGTTGCCCTCCCCCCACCATTCTATGCACGTGATAACTGGATGGGACATGCCATGGTCAGCATCTGTTCAAAAGCTGCCCTAAGCATGTAAAGCTCCACTGGCATGCTCGAGCATGGTCACAGTCACTTCTCACTTCTCAGTTGAACTTCCAATGGAAACCCATCACAAAGTAGAGATCAGGGCGCCTCTCACACTGCAGCACACTCAACGACTGAGGCACCATCTCATCACTTGCAGGTGGTTCTTGCCAGGAGCAATGCCAGCCACACACATCACGTGATAACAGCAGTGTACAACTGCAATCTACAAGCATCCATGTTCTTTCTGGTTTTCTGCTGTTGAGATCCACTGCCATGCATGAACTTGATGGGCTTTTGTTGCGCTCCTCCCATGTGCAGACAGGTTTCTGCTGAAACAAAGCAAAGCAAATGTGATTAATAATGGCCCTGTTTCACCATCCAGACACTGTGTGCACTGGTAGCTACGGCATACCATAGCATCACTCAAATGACGTTGCATGTGATCTCTTAGTTTATGATGAATCACGTTTGGAACAGAGTGAGATGTTCTGAAAAACCGTACCAAGAACAGAGGTTTGAGTTCAAATACTGCTAGCATGCTGCTGGTGCTGGTACCGCAGCGTGCTAGCGTTCTGGGATGCTGTCATATAGCTTAGCGTCACAGTGAACTTTGTTGACACTGCCATGGCAACCCAATGCTCTGACACACGCAGCGCACTGCAGTGCTCTGCCGTGAAACACCACCCATGAACGTTGGTTGCATGACCAGGATCGGAGCAGTCAGTGGCGGATCCAGGGGGGGCAAAATAGGCATTTGCCCCCCCCAAACGGCATAATTTTAACATTACGCCTATGGACGATGCATGGAAAGAATCGATAAATTGTTTTGGTTTGCCCCCCCCCCAAAAAAAAAACTCTGAGCTGGACAGCATCAGCATTGACATGTTATATAAAATGAGGTTTAGACTTCAGGTGGTCCCGGGTTCAGCACAAGGGGGCAAAAAATTGTCAAAAAATATTTAAAAAAATACCTGCCTTCAACAACACCTCATCTAATCACATATCTCAATACAATCACAATCAAAAAGCAAAAACCGTTTGAATAACAATGCAATATTTTGCAACCGCTGCACCATTACTGTCACGTACGCTATCCCTAGATTGGTTGCTGGTAAGTAGTGGTTGTCGTCATCAACTCGTCATGCAGCAGCTGATTGGGATGGGCGGGGCCTATTTTTATCCAGACGATAGAGAGAGCCCTGTGGAGGAGGGAATGTGAATGTGTGCGTATGATACGGACTGGTTTTGCGGAATATGTTACTAAAATGTTACCGTTTTTACCAAAAACCTTTTTAGGGATTGTTTCCGCTGTTACTAACCAGCAAACTGGTGTGGAAATATTAACCGATAAGTATTCTTACAAGCTGCATGTATGTACACCAGAGACTTTTCTATAAAAACTCCATCTGCCTCTTATCAATCATGTAAGTTACCGACAATACAAGCAACGCTAAGTTCAATGCATGGTTCACAAATCTGGGCATATTACATTTATGAAGCCTCTGTGACAATTGCGCCGTGAAATTCCCGTGCGGGCGGCAAAGAACGCATCAGCTGACTGAGCTGTGAAATTTCACATGAAATTTCCGTGCAAAGAACGCACCCTTGTTGTGTCCGTTGTGTCCCATTGTGTCCAAGGATTGTGTCCGTTGTGTCAAGCCAGCCAAGAACATGTCGAGAATGTGTCCTAAATGGAGTGATTTTGATGAGTATTTATGGCTATTTACAGCATTTACAGTACGCACTTGGTAACGAAACACTGAGGAACCTTCCAAGATTCCTAGAGATAGCCTATGTGCCAAGGCACTGAAGAAGCTGATAATGAAGGAAAATAATTTTATACAATCATGTGCCTTATTTTTTGTCTTCATACCAATCTGTGCTGCAGTCAATAAAAACATAATGTTCTGCAGCGATTGGAAAGCAACTGAACTAGGTGAGTAGGTACCTACCTAACATCAGTCTTAAAAGTTAAAATACTGATGAATTTGATTTACTAAGAGCATTGTTGACTGTTATCAGATGACTGTTATTGTAGAATTGTTGATGCTGCCCCATGTTTTGTGAATGTCACTTACTACTGATGAAGCAGATGTGCAAAGTTAATGTTATTTCCCTGCATTCTGCAATTTGCCATTGATATGCTGATTGAAATAATTCCTGTATCAGTGATCGCTATTCCATTCCGATTCATGGATTTCTCTTAACTGTTGAAGTATGGGCACCTACCTACATGCCTACATACATACAAATGTCATCCACATTTTGTAACTATTAATTTTAAAATTCATATATTTCTTACTTTTGTAATTGTATCTAGATGCCAATATACAATTGTATTACCTATTTTCATTTTGAAATGGTTAACCACACAGACATCAGATATAAAGATATAGCCTCTTTTAGTGTCCACTATCCTTGTTTGCTGATTGATTGCCTTCTTCAGTCTGCTGTTTACTAACAGACATAGGCTATTTGATGGCTAGGTACCTGATATATCATAAATCAGCAGCATGCTTCTTAATCCAATCAAAGGGAAAATGTTGGTGAGCTGCCATGATACTCATTTTGTCTTGTTATGCTTCACAGCATATAGCACAATAGATGAATGTCAGTGGAGTAAATGTCCCTTGAAGGCACATGAAATCAACAGGCTAAAATTTACCTGTTTGATTCAAGAGAATTTGGACCATCAAAGGTATTTGTTGGAAAAGCTTCAAGACATGGTTGGTATTTTGTTATATTAATCTCTCTTGTGTGGTTTGTTCTCTCCACCCATTTGTTTTCCATAGTTCTATACCATGTTAATTGTTGAGGCTACTTTGCATGGACTACCTAAACCTAACCCAATTAGTAATTTCAGACTCGTCATGGGACATAATTCACAATTATGTTGTGCAATGGCAGCCCAGCTTATTTGCTTATTTTGGAAATTATAACCCTGTCCATGTGTGTCACACAGCAAGGTAAACATTAGATTCTGCTTTTTAGATTAAAAGTTACTAGTTCAGCTCAGGTTGGTACTTGGTAGGCAATAGGTAGACCCCTGAATTATGAATGGGTGTCATAATCTCATCTTGGAACATGATTTTACCTTACCTCTGTGGCGTTGTTGAGCCCCTCCTTGGTGATGTAGACAATTTATCAGATTCATTTGAATTAATGCTTTAGACCTTTCTACCTTGACAATAGAGCATGAAGTACAGTTCAATTTTTGGAGTGTTCAAGTTTTCAGATGGTTTAATTATTCATGAGTGTCTGAAATTACTATAATTTACAGGCTAGGCAGCATTTGTAGCTAACTCTTATTGTCTCAGGATTACTACTCAAATAACATCATACCTATGTAGTATGCACTGTTATGGAATTGTAAGTATAATTTGTAAAAAAAAACATTTATAATTTGCATAGTTTATAAATATCATACCATACTATTTTTACATGCCTACCTGCTAATGTTTTGATGCTTAAGACAAAACAATCATCTTGATATGTGTGTCATAATATGTGATACCATATTTTTACAAGATAAATTTTCTAGCAAATGCTGTTTTGTTTCATTACTATATGACATAACACATGACTACAAGAACACTAGTAGTTATACTGTATTTCTTTTTTATTCAATGATTGGTAGGACTGAATGAAGACTTCAGTACACTTCGTCACAAATGAAGAACTACTGGCTAAAGTTTGCTGCAGTGTGTTACGGGTCTGGGGGCGCTGCCCGACTGACCCGCCGCCGCTCCGTCCCAGGAGGTTGGGGCTGCCCTCCCGCTGTACGGCGGCGGGGCGCAGCTGCAGCCCGACTGACCCGCCGCCGCTCCGTCCCAGGAGGTGGGGGCTGCCCTCCCGCTGTACGGCGGCGGGGCGCAGCTGCAGCCCGGCCGGCTGCAGCTGCCCGCCCAGCTGCGCCAGCTCACCGAGCGGCTGGCGCAGCTGCAGCTGCGGCCGCAGCCGCTGACGGCCCGGCTGGTGCGGCGCGTCTCGGAGCTGCTGCTCCAGCTGCGCCCCAGCGGAGCGCCGGCGGCCGGCTGGCGCCAGGCCGCGCAGGTGAGAGGTCAGGGGAGCGCCGCCGGGCTGGGCACGTCAGAGACAGAGTAAGAGAGAGGTCGCGGACACCCGGCACTGCTACATTGTGAGGCGTGTTTCGATAAACTGGGTGTCATTGATTTGTTTGACAATCATGCTTTGATATTATTCGGATGTGTAAGATATTGTTCGTTTGCTGATATAGGACTATCGCGGAGATCGTAGGCGAAGTCCGGCTACCAGCAGCTCCCGACAGCCTGCTCCTCCTGTTCTCAGTCGCTGTCGCGGAAGGGCCCGTTTGAGCCGTGGCCGGGGTTCGGAGACACGCTGGTTGCCATGGCAACCGGCCGCATCACCAGCGCAGACGTCGCCATGGTCGGCAGCCAGCTGAAGCTGCTGCTGACGCTGGAGGGAAACCAGCAGATCCTGTTCAAGCCGCAATGGTGAATCCCCTCTGTCAGTCGTACCTTTCGGCCTCCAGGGACCGGGCGTTTGCCGCTCTCTCTCTCTGGCTGTGGTGGCCTGATGTAACATACCCTCCGACCCTGGCACAATCAGTGAGGGGAACCTGCTCACTACTCGGAGCAGTGATATATTTTTAACTCTTCGCTGGCTGTCGGATACACCTCCTACACCCCACCGCCCGGCGCCGTGCAGGTACGGGCGGCTGTGGGTACATCTAACACCCCGCCTCCCCCGTGCAGGTACCGCCGGGACCGTCCGCTGCGCGGCGGCCTGCTCTCGGGCCGAGACCGGCCGCACGCCGAGCTGGCCAGCTGGCACCTGCAGCGGCTGCTGGCGGTGGGCCGCGCGCCGCCCGTCACCGGACGCGCCCTGCGGCTCGACGCCGAGGTGCGGCCCGTGGCCACCGCCCGACTGCGACGGACCATCACCCGGAGAGGTGGGACGGCGGTGTGGCAATCTTTGAAAATCCCCTTGCGCACATATGGTATCAGCTTCATGCGTTCTCTGGCTGTGGTATGACTGTGACCGGTGGACGGTGGCTCACCATCGGTGTTTGGCCGTGACCGTTGTCGCCCCGTGCGCCAGGACCCCGCTGCTGTGTGTCGGGCGAGTGCCGCTACTGCTCCCCGGAGCGGCCCGTCTGCACGGACAGCGCCGGGCTGCTGGCGGGCGCCGCTGTCCTCTGGCTGCCGGCCGGCGGCTCGCTGCGCAGCCACCCGCACCCCTGGCAGCGCACCTACACCGGCCAGCCGGCGAGGTAAGGGACCGGGGGGGGGGGGGGGCTCCTGGCTGGGAGGGAGACGTGGGCATAGGCGGCGGTACGAGGGGGGCACCCCGCACCGGGGCACCGTGCCCCCTTTGATTTTGGCATTTTTACATTAGCCCTATGGGCGTTGCATGGTAAGAATGGGACCAAAAGTAGGCAGTGCCCCCCCCCCTTAATCGAAGGTGTTCCGCCGCCACTGGACGTGGGTACGACTACAGTGTGAGCTGCGAGCTGTGACTGGTTTGATGAATAGCTGTTTTATATGGCAGCCGCGGTAGTGTGCCGTTTGGATGCGATAGGTTCTGTTTATTGGGCCGGCGAAGGCAGTGATCTACACGACGCGCTGTGTTTTTGTTGGCTCCAGAGCCCTGTTCGGGCAGCGCATCCTATTGTAAAATTTTGCACCACGCATGCGCAGTTGGGGTCTCTCGGGTGCCAAGCTCCGCCCTTCGGCGTATGACGTCACACGTGTGACGTAGGCTCGCGCAAAATCTTTCAGTTTTGCGCAAGAAGAAAATAGTAGCTGCAGGAGGCGAAAGTGGCGCGGATTAAAGTTTACCCTCATATATTTCTTATTGTAAGTGGTTGGTATGGTGTTGTTTTGGTATAATTATCTTTCTTTTCAGTGGCACATTGCTATTAACCACATTTGAACGCATTCTACTTAGTAACTGAACGAAACACATCACTCCATCCGCGCCACGGTTCGCCGCGTGTCGCGTGACCCTCGGCTTTGCGAACCGGCGGAGAGGGGGCGGAGCATGGGCGGAGCCAGGCGGCTGACATCATCGCATATGTGACTTCACACTCAGCAAAATATTTTGCGCGGAACCGAACAGGGCCCTGGTGTTTTGTCGCTGCTCCCATTCAACCCTGTATTGACCTCGGGTACATGCAGTTTTATGGTAATTTTTTTAAATGCTCGCGACTTTTTCATTTGTAAAATAATTTTTCTTGGCAACTTTGTCTTTGTTTTCTATATGCGATCATTACTCAGTTAATTAATCAAGTCAGTCATGATTGCGCTTCGCTGCTCATTTATATTCGTTCGCTCATGCATACTTTTGCCGACTCACTCCTTTAAAAAATAATCACATTCTTTCATTTTGTCACGTTAATTGCACTACCATAATATACCATAATAATGCCATCCGGAACAGTCCGTATTTTCTTTCCAATGCTGTGCTTTACCAACAGGAAAATAAATATTCTGGTTGATTTAACGCGATTGCTTATGTAGTGTTTACTGTTTTGCCTACCAGCGGGTCATTGCCGCCGTCGCCGGCTACATTCGCCGTGTACTTGTCTCCGTGCTGTGACCGCGCCGTGCCCCGTCGTCCGTCCAGGTGGGAGCAGGAGGCCCAGTTCTGCCGCCACGTGCGCTCCCTGCTCAAACCGCAGCGACTGCTCGACCTTGTGGACGCAGCTGTGTTGGACTTCCTGATTCAGAACGGCGACCGGCACCACTACGAGACGCTCGGCCGCGGCGGGCCCATGGTGCTCATCGACAACGGCAAGAGGTCAGAATCGCCGCATCAAAGCCGCGTACAAGGGGAATTTGTGGGCAATATGTATCTAGTTCGTAGTTCGTCTTACTATTGTTTCTGCTCAAAGAACAGAGATGAATTGTCGAAACACTTCAAATGACTTGTGTTGTTGCTGCCTGCCCTGATTTTCGAGGCAGATTATACCAATACATTGGAACGGTATTTGTAAGAAGTCAGCAACCTCAAACCGCCTCAGCTGCCGTGTACAGTGCTATGGGTGTGTAATAGTTGTGACAGCGCTGACTTACGGTCGTATGTCGGGTGCCGCCGTCAGTTTCGGGGACGCTGATGTGGACCACCTGGACATCCTGGCGCCGCTGCTGCAGTGCTGCAGGTCAGTCAGTAGACGGACAGTCCCCGCTCCTTTCCACCGAGCGAACTCGGACTACCAGTACTGTCAGGGACGGGTCAGTGCCGGCAGCAGGACACTGGAGGGTGTACTGGGACCTCGGGCCTGCCAGTTCAGTCCTCCTTAGAGGAATGCCAGAGTACTACTGTACCCATTTCCCACTTTTAGCGATAGTGTTGATATTAAGCTTCCACCTAACTGCTCACTATGTATCTGCTATTTATAGTCACCGTGGTATCTATTTGACCCGACTGTTGCTCTCAGCATCCCGCCTGGTCATTCTTTTTGGCAAGTTTTTCGGTTATGCTCAGTGCAATACAGCTGTTTGTGTGTTGCTGTGCCCACACGGCACCCTGCACCCTGCATAGTGCACATACCGTCCCGATATAGTCCCCACCCCACCCCACGCTGACGCCGGGCGCCGTGTTCCCAGCCTGCGCCGGCGCACGTGGCGCGCGCTGCGCGCGGTGCCGGCCGGCCAGCTGGGGCCGCTGATGTCGGTGGTCGCCGCCGACCGTCAGGGGCCGCTGCTCACCGCGCCGCACCTGAGCGCGCTCAGCCGCCGCCACCAGGTGGTGCTGGAGGTGGTGCGCTGGTGCGAGCAGCACAGCCGGCCCGGCCACCACGTCCTCGTGGGCGACTGATGTACGGACCTCGTGGGCGACTGATGTACGGTCCTCGCGGGCGACTGATGTACGGACCTCGTGGGCGACTGATGTACGGTACTGGTGGGCGACTGATGTGGGGTTCTGGCGGGCGACTGATGTGGGGTTCTGGCGGGCGACTGATGTGGGGTACAGGTGGGCGACTGGCCGTTGGGCTAAGGGCCGAGCGTGGTATGGCCGAAGCGGGACACAAGTGTGACCGGAGTTCGAGCCGAGTGTCGCTGGAGTTGGAGCCGAGTGTAATGGGAGTTGGAGCCGAGTGTAGTCGGAGTTGGAGCCGAGTGTAGTCGGAGTTGGAGCCGGGTGTGGCTGGAGTTGGAGCCGAGTGTTAGTCGGAGTTGGAGCCGAGTGTAGTCGGAGTTAGAGCCGAGTGTGGCTGGAGTTGGAGCCGAGTGCAGTCTGAGTTCGAGCCGAGTGTGGCTGGAGTTGGAGCCGAGTGTGGTGGCAGCTGGGGCGGAGTGAGGTCGGGATTCGGAAAGGCCTGGCCGAGGTGTTGAGTGGAGAGTGGACGTGGTCGGACCCGTATTCGAAGATGTGGATTGTGGATGGACGAACACAGAGTAGCGAAAGGGTGGCGACTAAGTGAGAGAGGGCTGTATAAACCGGGCTGCCGAGGCCCTCACTTCATGCCAATCCGTCAATAACTGCTGTGTGTTGACGGTATTAACTGAAGTGCAAAATACATGCGCATTACACAAGGCTAGTCGCGTTGAGAATGCGGTTTTATAGTAATATAGATGTACCGTGCACCGGTGATCTTGCTATAGAGGTATGTCTTACTGTTAGACTGCTTCGTGAAGTACATTGTCAGGCATTTTGGTTTGCCGCTGCTTAGTGCACGGTTCGTATTAGCTAGCGCTAGTTCACGTATCTTTTTTTTTTTTTACTTTTAAGCCAATAACCATTTGGTGCGCTATTTGTTGTTTCTACCATTGTGTCGAGCACCTCTGTATCACCGAAGTTCGCTACAATATACCAACAATGCGGCCGTACCGTGAATTCAATTTAATAATCTAAATAACGGTAGTTTCGCATTAACACAAACTGTAAAAGTACTAGTATCCCTCGCCAGACCTATTGGTTTTCTACATACCTACGCGCCGGCCGAGGGGGGGGGAGGGCGGTACGAACCCCCTCGCCGTTTCACCCCTGGTGGAGCTAGCGCGTCGCGGAAAAAACGAGCGTGTGCGCCGTTACGAGACGCAGAGATTGATACCCAGTTTTAAGGTCCTAGGTCAACCGGTGACCTCTGAGGTCAGGTCAAGTGCCCCAAGGTACGGTTCCGTTGTTGGTGAATAATTTCGCAAATAAACGGCCACAGAGCCGCAATTTCGGCAGCTCGTGTTCGCCTCGCTCAGGCGCGTCGAATGATATACTTTTTATTTGGTGAGGCCAACTTGGGACGTTGACCCCGGGTCACAGTCAGGTCAGCACTCCCAGGTCACGAAATTGGTTGAAGTAGGTCATGTCGCATATCGTATCATTCTATTTGGCAAGTCTTCCTGGGTCTATTGGTGCCCGGTGGCTTTCTCGACTCGCTATCTCAATTTGATCGGTAGTTATTGACGAAAAACTAATATGACCCTAATGAAGTCACGCAAGGTCAACATTGCAAAAGTGACGCATCTAACCTTGCAAGGAGTGCATCATATCACGATTCTGTGTGCTTGAGATAGTTGGAGATCGTTTCCGGCGCTAGAATAGCAGTTTTCATTTTCCCCATTGACCCTAATAGTGGAGGTCACGAAAATGACCTGACCTCATAGGACCTTTAGGAAAAATCTGAGATATGCAAGTTGTGAGACTCGTAATAGATATTAGATCCTGCAAGTTTCATTTCCCTGTGAAAGCTCCCCTGGCAGTGAGGGCGTTGCGAAGTTGCGACATCTGAAGACCGTGCAGAGGTTCACTTATGACGTCATACGGTCATAGGTCAGTGACCTGACCTGACCCGAAAATGCAGTTGGTGTGAAAAGATCCGGCTGGAATCAAAGGTCAGGTATACCAAGTTTCAGCTCTCTATCCCCAGCGTGTTCGGGGCTATCGCGAAAAAATTCCAATGGGGGGGGGCGGCACCCGCCCCCTCCCCTCGGCCGGTGAGGGGTATATCGCTGCTGCCTTCAAAGGTGGCGGCGGCTTGAATGCTCGCGAGCCCGCAGCTCAAATTGACTTTTGCTGAAACCGGAAATCTTGGAATAGCTCATCTTTGTTTCAGCTCAAGAGCACAGATGCCGCGGAGTGACGGACACTGTAGGGATCATCTATGCGATTTATCATCTATGCGATTTGTCATCTATGCGATTTGTCTATTGTCACCGCCTTATTAATCAATCTGTTACCTGTTGTCAATTGCGCGTCAAGTTTGTTTGTTATTTGTAAACCGGCCTGCTGCTTTTTTTTTTTTTTTTTTTTTTGTCCTCCCGGCAAGCCAAGTGGCTATAGCCGGGGGAAGGGGAAAGTTACTAGCTGGCAATTGGCCAGGTCTTTCGTTTACGTTACGTTAATGCCGGCTATTTGATTCCGGCCCAAGAACTAAGAGAAAGGCAAAAGACTACGTTAAACCGGCTCATGTGGCGTCCGGTGGGTTGCAAGGCAAAGGGAAGGCCGAAAGGTGCCTGATGGGCGAGACAATAAATTTGGTTACTTACATAGAACTTCATGCTGCTGTGACTTGCTGCTGATTTGTGTGCTGTTGTTTGGTGTGTGTTGTTGTGGGGTGAACTTTACCAGGAAAAGTCCTAACTAGAAAAAACCTGGTGCCTAACCAAGAGGGCAAAAACCTGTGCTTTCAGCCAAAGTACACAGTAAAAAAGCCCTTTCTTTAATTACGTTATATTACGTTACGTTATATCGCTAATGTGCTGGCCTCAACCTTCCTAGTAACCGCTGTGCCATACGCTATAGAACGTGTCGTGCAAAGGTCACGGCGGCACCCCTGAGGCGGCCGCTGCCCGTACGTTTAGGAGCCCATTGTCGTGACGTCATGACTGTGGAAAAAGGTCGCGGTAGGGGCTCTCCCGGCAGCCGGACGGTGACTCATACGTTGAGCTTGTCTCTCGCCGCGCCTGCGGGCATATTGGTAGTACTAGGGACGGCCAGCATATGACCGCGGTTTTCGGCGACATTGTCAATTCGTTTCTCGACTCTGCTGTTCGCTACAAGACAAATACACATAGAAAACGGCTCGGGCATTTGGAGAAGAGCGGCTACTCTGAGGCGAGGGAAGAACACGGAGATTCACACAAACGACCTGACTAGGTTGCACCGGCCACAGTCGACCGAGGTGAGCTCCTGCAGCCTCTGCACGCCTTAATCACCCACAAGGCAAAACGCTCGAGAGCGCCTGTCACGTGGACAGACTCGGCGCGGCAGCGTTTCAAGAACGTCAAGGACGCCCTGGCCACGGCGACACATCTCGCACACCAAGTCCCGGACGCGCCGCTCGCCCTCTTCGTCGACGCCTCGGACTGCGGAGTGGGCGCCGTCCTCCAGCAGCACGTCGCCGGCGAGTGGCAGCCCCTCGCTTTCTTCTCGAAAACGCTCCAACCTGCGGAGAAGAAATACAGCACGTTCGGGCGCGAGCTGCTCGCTATCTACCTGGCCGTCCGGCACTTCAAGCACGCCATCGAAGGACGGTCAGCAATCATTTTCACAGACCACCGACCACTGGTAACGGCCATCGGCTCCTCGTCCGACCGCTACTCGCCGCGAGAGGTCCGCCACCTGGACTACATCGGCCAGTTCGTGTCTGACATCCGCCATGTGCCTGGCAAGGACAACGTGGTCGCCGACACGCTGTCACGCACGGTCTCGATGGTGGCCCAGCCGCGACCCCCGCTCGCCGACTTCACTGCCATCGCCAAGGCCCAGTCCGAAGACGGCTCGCTGGAAGACCTCGAGGCCTCAGACACCTCACTGCGCCTGCGCCACATTCCGGTCGGCGAAGGACTCCGTCTGCTCTGCGTTAGGATCGTTTTCGTTTTCTTCCACTCCCTCTCTTCTAGGGACATTCTGTCCCACAACCCCCCACCTCTTTCTCTCTGATCTTTCGTCGTTGTCTGGGGGCCTCCGAGGTTACCGGCAGCGCCGGCCCTCTTGCCCAATTTTTTCATCCGGATCGGACTAATTTTGCTATTTGCGGTTCTGCCCGCTATTGATTCTTCTATTAATAATAACCAGATATAAACACAAATTAACCAGAGTAACATGCCTTTCTACCAGGATGAGGGGGCGGCCTCACTGCCCCCCTCCGAAACCATCCCTGACGGCCCAGCTTTCGTGCTGGTAAAAAAAACCACCAACAACCTAACGTTCAAAAACAGCAACCCGTTTACCATCAAGCGGTCCTTGGATCGCCTGTGCGGCCCCGTCACCTCGGCTAAGGCCGTACAGTCCGGGTCCCTTCTGATCCAAACGAAAAACAAAGAGCAGACAGAGATCCTCCTCAACATGACGACGTTCACCGACCAACCCGTGACAACCCAACTCGCCCACCGACTGAACTCAGTGGAAGGTGCTCTCAGGAGCGAGGCGCTGACGGAGCTCAGCAACGCTGAGCTCCTCGACGAACTCAAGGAGCAAGGCGTCATCAAAGTCGAAAGGCTCAGGTCCAACAACATCGAAAAGATGGGTCCTAACCCCACAATAAGACTATGGTTCGCCGGGCGGGACCTCCCGCAAGTCGTGTATTGCGGCTACTTGAGAGTCCCGATCACGCCGTGGGTCTACGCCCCTCGCCCCTGCAAAAACTGTCTCATGTATGGCCACAGTGCGCGGGCGTGTCGTCGCCGCAAACCGCGGTGCGGACGCTGTTCCGAGGAGCACCCGACGGAAGGGTGTAAGGCTCCCCCTCTTTGCTTCAGTTGCGGAGGGCCTCATCCGTCTTGGGATAAGGGGTGCCCCGTTGTCCAAGATGCAAGCCGTTGGCACCGGGAGGCCACAAGACAGGCAGCCAGGGAGCACCACATGAAACAGAACAGCCGCACAACGAACGCAACAGTCACACTGGATCCAGCTGAGTGGCCCCCGCTCCCGGCAGTCCGCGAAAAGGTCCCGCCGCCGCGCCCACGCCCTCCGCGCCCAACACAAACAAGCGAGGACACGCCTCCGCCGGCGAGGCCGCCACCTCCCCCTCCACCGGTGCGGAGCGCCCAGCGCCCTCCGACCCCACCACGAACACCACCACGACCACAGACCACACCCTCACAGACACCGGACGCGTCACCAACCACGACACTGGAGCCGGACTCGCCTCTGTCCGAGCGGACTGGGACCAGCGCTGCCACCTCACCCACACACTCCATCCCACCATCTGAACCCGCCACTGACACAGAGTCGGAGACGGTCAGCCGGGCCCGACCCATGACCCGTCTCTCAGTAAAACATAAATAAGCAAACATGAGTAACCACACTGAACAATCACGGCCTGAATTCTTTCTCCAATGGAATACCAGCTCGCTGGTATCTCATTGGGGGGAATTCAAGAACTATATCTTGCATAATAAACCGTTACTTGCCGCCATCCAAGAAACCAGATTCATAGACTCTGACTCGACTAATTATAATTTCAACATTCGTGACTATTCTTTGTATACAGATAACGTAAATGAAACACCTCGCCGGGGCGGCTCGGCGCTTTATATCTCAAATAATATCTTGCACCACCAAATTCATCTCAATACAACGCTTAACGTTGTAGGAGCTAAAGTAAAAATAGCACAGCGTGATCTAACTGTCCTCTCTATCTACCTCTCTCCTACCTACCCATTGAATCCTAAACACCTCTCCGAATTGATTTCCCAGCTCTCCCCTCCTTTTATCATAATGGGAGACTTTAACGCCCAAAATCTAACATGGGGATGCACACGCAACGACACAAGAGGCAGACAAATACTTAACGTAATAGAAGCACTTGATTTGATACCACTCACAAACAGAGTACCAACACACACACGCATTTCTAATGGCGAAGCCTCACATAGCGTCATCGACTTCGCTATCACGGACACAAACACCGCGACACTTTTCACCCAATACACTGCAGATGATACCCTATTTAGTGATCACTTCCCTTTGCACTACTCCATTGATGTTCCTTCAGAACAAACAAATTTTAACTTTCTCCCAAGATGGAATTTTCGGAAAGCCGACTGGGCTAACTTTCAAAAACACATTAACGTAGAATGTAGAGATCCCCCTAAAGATATTAACACTTTCCTTGACATGATACTTAACGTAGCAAAACAGACGATTCCTCTCACTCGACCCCCCATCCCCGACAAAAATTCTCCCTGGTGGAACTCTGATTGTCAAAGAGCAGTAGCACTTCGAAGGCGAGCAATGCGTGTCTTTAGACGATGCATCTGCGACGCACACGCGGAGGCAGCTCGTAAGGCTCGACGAGAATCACGTGAAATTATTTTGAAAGCCAAAAGCTCAAGCTGGCAGCAATTTGCTAACACTTTTAATAGATTTACCCCTCTTTCGAAAATATGGTCCCTGATTAAATGTTTCACTAAAAATCGCACCTATTACAAGGTACCCCACCTTTACATTAACAACATACATTACATCATCCCCTCAGAAGTAACTATTCAATTTGCTATCCACTACGCCAATATCTCTTCTGAACAGCAATACCCACCACAATTCACCACAACACTTGATACACACCTCAGTACACTCTCATTCGACTCACTCAACAACGAACAATACAATGCACCATTCAGAGAACATGAGCTTCACTCATCACTTGCCAAATGTGGAAACACATCGGTCGGTCCAGATCAGGTCGCATACCAATTCTTCAAAAATCTCCCTGAATCTGGACTTGCAACTCTCCTGGCTAATATAAATCAACTCTGGGAAAGCAATTCATATCCTCCATCCTGGCGCAGAAGCATTATTATCCCAATCCTTAAAAATGGCAAACAACATTCTGATCCTGCAAACTATCGCCCAATATCCCTCACAAGCTGTGCATCAAAACTAATGGAAAGAATGGTTAATGGACGAATTAGGGCTTATCTGGAGTCCAATAATCTACTTTCTCCATATCAAACAGGTTTCAGACCTAGGAAGTCAGTATCCAGTAACATAACACATCTTATTAACTCGATACAGATTGGATACCAACGTAAAGAGTACACAGTAGCAGTATTCATTGATTTCAAGAATGCATTCGACAAAGTAAATAGGAAAGCTCTACTTATTAAACTACACAAAACAGGCATACGGGGTCATATGGCCCATTTCATCAGTAACTTTCTTTCTAATCGCACCTTCCAGGTTAGGTGTGGGAACACATACTCACCAGATTACATTCTAGAACATGGCCTACCACAGGGCAGCGTCATATCGCCTACACTTTTTACAATAATGATAAATGATATTTTCGATGATGAACCATCTTATATTAAGCACTCTCTCTTCGCTGATGATATAGCACTCTGGTATACTCATCATAACCCTAACATTGGAATCGAACAAATACAACACTCACTTAATAACATAGGAAAATGGTGCAAGAAGTGGGGTCTTACGATCTCACCTAGCAAAACTGTCGCAGTGATATTCTCCCATCGTTTGCTACGTGACAAATGGCGAAACCTCACACTAGATAACAAACCAATCAAATACGTACAAAAACACAAATTTCTAGGAATAACTCTTGATTACACACTTAACTTCAACGCTCACATTGAGGATCTGGTACAAAGGTGTACCAGAAGAATCAACATTATGAAATGCATCGCAGGCAGAGAGTGGGGTGCGGACCGACGCACACTCACGCAACTCTACGTAACCCTAATTCGTCCAATCTTGGATTATAACAGTTTCTTATACGATGATATAGCTTCGAGCCGTATTGACAAATTGCAAACAATACAGAATCATGCACTCAGAATCATCACTGGTGCCCTGCGCACTACGAGAATAACAGCCCTACACATAGACACAAACATACCCACACTTGACAGGCGCCGTAAATTCCTATTGCTGCGCTATTATATACGATGTGCCTCCCGCCCAGATGATATCGCCTACCAAATTCTCACAAACACCCAATCGAACTCGTCACTCACAAATCAGCGTCGCTATCCACTGATCTCTCGTCGCCTCCAGAAAGTAATTGATCACTTTCAAATAACCATTCCAACGATATTGCCAATTCCCCCTATAACATCAGCTTACCTTGATCGCATAGATAATATAGAATACCTCTTCAATGAGAAAAAAGATAGAGTAACAGTAGCAGAAGTAAATCAACTCTTTCTCGAATATTGCCACACACATCAACAAACAACATTCTACTTCACTGACGGATCCGTCATGAACGGCAAATCGGGAGCAGGAGTCTTCTCTACCCATTATAGAAAATCAAGTCGTCTTCCGGATATTTTCTCTATCTTTTCAGCCGAGCTTGCGGCTATACTTCATGCTATCAATCACATCAAAAAGAAAAAAGTTAAGAACAGCGTGATCTGCACTGATTCTGCATCATCACTTTCAGCAATCAAATCACAGAATCAAACCGATCACCACATTGTATACCTGATTAAGAAGAACATAATTCACCTAAACAAGATAGGATACAACATCAGACTTCTATGGATCCCGGGACATAGTGGCATCCCGGGAAACATAAAAGCCGACGAGCTTGCCAAACAAAGCCTTAATCTCTCTAATCGTAAAGAAGATCGCTGCACACATCAAGACGTCCTTTCGCACCTCAATCACGCATTCCGAGACCTGCGCCAGTATGATTGGCAGGCTCTTCCCTACGATCACCTCTTTGAAATCCACCCGCAAATTGGTAACTTCACATCCTCTAATCAAGATAATCGACTCAAGGAAATAGTTCTAGCCAGATTGAGGCTGGGACACACAAAGATAACACATAATTTTATCATAAAAAATGAGCCACCCCCGAGCTGTCCACACTGCGCCGCACACACCCGACTCAACATTGCCCATCTTCTTATCAACTGCCCACACTACGACCAATACCGTCAACCCATCATTCACTACACAAACACACACAACCTCAGCCTGGACCTCCCAACTCTCCTGGGTGATGATCATCCAGATCTAATTGATCTTCTCTTTACCTTCCTCAGTGATTCGAATCTCATCAATAGCATATGATCGAAACCCTGCACACAGTATATAGACGTTCCTATGATCTCCCATCGTCGTCTCCATCCGCTTCGTTTTGCTTCCATTCGTTTTCGTTCTCGCCGCCTTTTCCAAGTGTATATATATATATGTGTGTAAGCTCGCGGTTCTCGACAGGGATCCCTCTTAAAGGTTGAGGCCCACTCGAGACACAGAAGCTATCGCCGGACACCCCGGGCGCGGCCTATGTGGCTTGCATCCATGGCCCCCCGGGAGTGGATGAAGGTGATAGCTCCACAAACACACATACACATTAGCGATATAACGTAACGTAATATAACGTAATTAAAGAAAGGGCTTTTTTACTGTGTACTTTGGCTGAAAGCACAGGTTTTTGCCCTCTTGGTTAGGCACCAGGTTTTTTCTAGTTAGGACTTTTCCTGGTAAAGTTCACCCCACAACAACACACACCAAACAACAGCACACAAATCAGCAGCAAGTCTCAGCAGCAAGCTCTATGTAAGTAACCAAATTTATCGGTCTCGCCTATCTGGCACCTTTTTGGCCTTCCCTTTGTTTTGCAACCCACCGGACGCCACATGAGCCGGTCTAACGTAAAGTTTGTCTTTGCTTTGCTTCTTGGGCCGGAATCAAATAGCCGGCAATTAACTTAACGTAAAACAAAAGATCTGGCTAATTGCCAGCAAGTAACTTCCCTTCCCCTGCTATAGCCTTGAGCTAGCGGGGATGCAAAATTCAAAAAAAAAAAAAAAAAAAAAAAAAAAAAAAAAAAAAGGATGCAAAATTCAAAAAAAAAAAAAAAAAAAAAAACACACCATCAGCAGCAAGATTTACAGCAGCAAGTATGAATATTCTACCCCTTTCTGGACACCCTTGCCTTGTTAATCGGACGCCACATGAGCCGAATTAAAGTAAAGTTTGCTTCTCTCTCTTGCTTGGGTCAGAATTAAATAGCTGACAGTAAAGTAAAGTAAAACGAAAGATCTGGCTCATTGCCAGCCTTAGTAATTTCCCCTTCCCTGGCGGTTGCCTTAGGCATGCCGGGAAGACTAAATTTAAAAAAAAAAAAAAAAAAAAAAAAAGGATCGCCTCGGCCGGTCCTCCCAGAGGCGCTGCGCCGGCCCTTCGCCAAGGCTCTGCACGACCTGTCGCACCCTGGCGTCGAGGCCACCGTCAA